GAGATGAGCACGGGTAGTAGTCCGGTTAATTCACAGCAAGCGAGGGGTCGCCATGTGTTTTGTAGCCTCCACGCTGTGCCCGGACAACTCCCCCACTTAAACCAAAGAATTTTCAGTAGTAAGGACATAGCTGAAGCACACCTGTCGTGTGCATCACATGAAGAAGGCCAACAGTCTCTAATCGGATTCTCCCGACACTGTCCGGGGCTCATGTGTGCAAACCACAGACAGTTAAAGAGATGGAGGCAGCTGCTGTGAAGTCCTATTTTAAAACCTCAAGATGAGTGTTTCTAGAGACAGGAAGTGATTAGCAACAGGCAGATCTTATTATGAAACCCACACTTACTAGCTATTAACTTATCAATCGCAAGCCATTAGCGAGTAAGCTAATGACTTGGATAATATATATATATATTATTATGTGTGTGTGCACATTTAACTCCAATGCCTGACCAAGCGCTTAAAATGTTGCATAAGGGATAGTTCTTCCAAACCACTTACACTACTACTCATAGTACTGGTTATGGCGTTGTTTATGATGATGATGATAATGGTGATAATAGTGACTATGATGGTAATGAAGACAGCACTGATGATGATAGCAAAGATTATGGCAATAGGTGATGTTGGTGATAATGATTGTGGTGGTGACAATAATGGTGAACAGGATGGCAATAGTGAGAATCATTGTGGTTCTAATGATGTCATTAAAAACCCATTAAAAACCAGTGGGTCATAGCTGTAGAAGTCCCAGTTACGGCTAGTATATAGTATGAATATGTTACCATCACTTTATAATACATCCGTGCTGTTAGAGCTCAGCCTTCACCCGTGGACGAGAGGGGATATGAAAAGTGTTGGATAATTATAATTCACAACATGACCTTTATTGGTTTTTGTAAGAGTGGAAGAGAGCACACCGTAAAAGATAACTGAACAGTAAAGACTTCCAAAGGGTTATAAAGCGAGAGAGCTCATGTGTTGTCTGTGAATGGCTTTTTAGGTACTGATAAATCAAATAAGTGGGAGACGATGATAAAGAAAGAGCTGCTAAGAGTACTATTTGCTTTGTTTGAGTCTGTAAGAGAAGCTGACATGTTGATTAAACAAATGTAAATGTAATTTTATTGTTATGACAGAACTAAAACTCGAAATGTAGCGAAGGAATAATTTGGACTGCCACTGCCGTCTTTGCTTACGCGTGCTGTATCTTTGTCTGCACTATCCGTGGCTCCTTGTCAGATGAACGAGAGGTTGATCAGACTGCACAGGCTAATGAGAAGTCGCTCTCGGTGGTAAGGTCAGACAGGCGTTTCCCGAGCCGGGCTCTTCTTTCTCTCTGCGCCATCGTTCCCTTCATCTCGCTCTGCTCTGTTCAAACAGAGGCTGTGATAAGACCAAGTGAACAGGCCCATCATGTCACTGTGCTGCAGCCCAGTGAGGGGAACTGAATCAAGCTGTCACCGTGCAGGAGTGTTGAGGGAGAGGTGAAGGGGAAGAGAGGTAGCCGCCTGTTCTCCCATTCCCTCCACAGACCCCATTATAACAGGTGCCAACACTGGGAGACGGATCTCGCATGCACACACACTCTCACACTCACACACACAGTGTTGTTTCCATTACTTCAGAGCACATGGCACTGATTTACATTCATCCTCTAGAAACTTATCCAACCTTAAACCAAGTCTTCACCCTGAAAATGTAATGTTTTATGTTATGACGACTTAATTTTGTCAGCCCAAGTGAGGTTGTACAATGAAAATAAAGGTAATTCTATTCTGCTATATTACCATGTCTGCTTTAGTTTAGCTTGTTAGCATTCTTTCTTCAAAGTTATATGATTGAAATCTAGCAGGCGATGAGCTACTAGCACAGAGTAGCACAGACCCATTTTTTAATCTCAGTGTCAGCATCTTAGCCTCTGTCATGTGTTGTTTTTTTTTTTTTTTACATTTTATTTACCCTAAAATGTCACCTTATTTTGGTGAGAAGGTGAAATGCTAATGCTATCATTAGTAAGCTTAGCTAGCAAGTCACACTCATTAGGGAACTAGGGACTCAGTAGGGAACACACACACACAGATATCTGATAATTAGTGATGACATACTAAAGCTTTACTCACTAAAGCTGAAGCACAAACTTTTTAAATGTCCGCAGTTCACAGCAGGTCATGTTCCCACACAATTACTATACATATGTTTTGTTTTGTTTTTTTTGTTCCAGAATATGAATTAAAAATGCTAAAGAAAATCTTTAATGATGCTTGAAGTTGAGCATTTGAACATCTGAATCTGTTGGGATCAACGCGCTTTAGGAGCCAGCCTCAGTTGGCCAATAGATGAGCTTTGGATTTCGAGGTTGCTGGGAGGTGTAACATGATCACTAGTCTCTACTTCAGTCGCATATTGATCGATAGAAAATCCAGTGCAGTGGCGCTCTTTTCCTTAGTATTTGCTTTATGGCCACATGCTAAGGAAAATAAAGTTGCTTATTGAAAGTAAGATGATCACCACAGTTAATGTGTCTGTACAAGCTTTCATAGCTATTTATCCGATATCAATCATCCTTGTGTTTACATTAACCTCTGATGATTTGACATGTGATCAGTCCAGTTACTTAAAAATGTCCATATACAACCTATTGACAGCATAATGACATTTTTCTTCACAACATCAGTTATCCTGCACCTGGCCTATATGTAGGGGCCTTCGGCTCTGCTCTAGTATCTGTGAGTCTTATATTGTTGTTATGCTGAGGTTTCCAAAGTGATTCTGTTTGCACAGCTATAAAAAGACAATAAACCAGAGCCAGCTAAGCTTCCGTTAATTAAATGTACATTATGAAGTTGAAGTCAGACAAAAGGCATCTATTCATCACCAGGATGTTAAACGAGTTATTTCCTTAGCTGGAAATAATTTTAAAAATTAAATTAATAAACGAAAGATGAATTAGTCTCTTTCTAAGGGATTATTTAAGTCAGCAAGCGCTGATGTAAAGCTCTAATGTTTATTCAAACCTTTCCACCATTTGCTGCTCTCTTCTTCCGTTTATGCTCATCATCGTACGATAATACACCAACATATTAACGCCAACGTCACCTACACGATCAGGAGTTCAGCAACTAGATTTGACACCCGTTTATATTTTAGGCCGCTGAAGGTTCTTTTCTATCACACATTATGACATCATCATGTTACCAACCAGGTATTCGTGGCTTCTGACTACAGTCACAATACTGTGACATGGACATGGGCTATTTACTTAAAATAACCTCAGGATTTGTACTCTAGTGTTTTCAGACTGAACCTAAATCACAAAATTATAATAATATTCTTTAATATTCAATATTGTTTTGTGAAAACCAACACATATCTCTTTTTTGGGAAATATCTCAGTCAGTAAGGTAATCTGCTGACTGAGCGTATGGGGGGCAACTGGAAATTGGCTTGGCTGCTTAGTCTGTAGCCACCGCTAGCTGCTTTCTAGGCTTCAACATCAGCTAATCTGACCCTCTCGGTCATGTTGATGGTGTTAGTGATTTCTGAAGCTTAAAAAAAAACCAGTTACCTAATAATTGTTTGGTTACGGTTTATTTTATTCATATGTTCCATATATTCCACATGTTTCATCCTATATGCACTAATTATCAGGTATCTATCTGGTAAAACCACTTGCTAAGCTTGCTAGTGCTAGCTTGTTCGTTTGCACCCCACTCTCTCATCCAAATATGGTTGCTTCTGGTTCTGAAATGGTGGAGGAGCTACCTGCTCACTTTGTTACTCTGAGAAGAAAATTGTAATTTGAGCATCACCTGTGTGTTATGATGATTGTTTATTTAAATGGTCCATATGGTTGTGAATATCTTGCCAATGGAGGCTAGTCATTAGCAAGGACAGGTACACGTTTAAAGGGTTAGGTGCTTGACTTACTGAATGAGTGGATGATTCTGTCCTCATTTAACACCTCTAGTTTACCAGCTAAGTCACTCACTATCTCAGATATAGATATCCTCATTCAGCCTCTGACGAATCCGATTTTTACACACACAATAAAATTGTAACTTAAACGAGTCTTCTTTTAGGCAGAAATCTGGGCTGATTGTGTCAGAGCCAGTCACATAGACACAATCATATAATCACCAACAAGTTGCCCAACCCACTGCTTCCTGTGGGCCTCATTTGAAAGAAAGTCTTTCTTTTTGTGTGAAAACTTGTAAAGCATGCAAGTATTTTTGGAAACCTTCTCTGTGTGGATCTGTATGATGAAATGCAAGGTGTGTGTGTCTGGCAGGCCTGACACAGTGTGTGTGTGTGTGTGTGTGTGTAATGGGAACAGCTGGCTGAGGGAATGAGTACAGAGGGAGAGGTGATGGATGCGAGTGGAGCTCCTGTGACAGATGAGCTAACAGGTGTTCACCACAGCCCTCAGAGAGACGCTATTTATGAGCCGGAAAAGACAGCCAGACGCAAAAGCACACTCCGCCACCGGCCTCCTCAGTGCTCAAACACATCACGTACATCTGCACAACTTTACTCAACAATGAGCGACACGGCAGAACTGCCTTCAGACGGCACAGAGGTTTTAGTTTGCAAGAAGCAGCTTTGCTCAACAGTCAAGTTGAAGCCTTTTCATGGCTGTACATACACAAAAGTCCTCATGCATCTTGCGCTGCAAAAATTACCATAAAACATTTTTTATGGTGCACCTAATCTTGCACCTTACTTTTACTTTTCTCAGCTTGCAACTAAGCTACAACTAAATTTGGTGTTCTTCTCATGTTTATACCGACTCTGCTTCCACATATAATGCACTCTCTTTTAAAAGTGAATGACCTTAGCTTGTAGGAGGGCAGTGATTCAAGAGGAATCAACGTCTTTAGTTTAAAACAAGTGCAAACAAGTAGGGGCTTTTGCAAACGTTACCAGCCTCAGCCTGCCAATTAGAGCTCAATTTTTGTTTCAGCCACATTCTGTTAAAAGACTAGACTGCATGACACAGCTTAGTTTTAATAAAGTCACATTTTTATTGTTGAGATGTAGCAGTACAGATAAAAAAAACACTCTTGGACATCCGAGTCTGATGTTTGGTTTTCTTGATAATGTCAGGCACTGTAACAAATGTGATTTGGTAACGTTTCAAGGCTAGAATGTAAAACTAAATCAGTGTTTGGTGTCACGGTATTCATACAGTTTTATGATTTGACATTGTGTTTGTGGGTCAAAATGCCACAGAGCATCCCCCCCTCTCTCCTGTTATTGGCAGCAAAGAAGTCGAATGAAACATAGCAGAGGCACAGACATGTTGGCACTGTGAGTGGAGCGGTGATGCAGTTCTTCCCCCCAAATGTATGTACAGATGTTGGTATATTATCATGCTTCATCAAACCATAAACAGCATGAGATTTAAGTAATTAGTGCCGAGGAAAATGGCCAGTTAGTCGGATATTTTTACCATGGAGTTGTGTCTGGAAATACTTAAACACAACGACAGCAAGTTCAGTTTAATTCTAATTTATTCTAACTTCCATGAGGCTTCTAAAGATTTAAGATTTCAATTATTCCCGTGTTTGAAGATATTCTGTTTCCAAACACATAGGCCACAGAAATAAACACTGAATAGCATTTTTCAGTTGTTTACACTTCATTCTTTGTGAACACTTCTCGCTATGGTTCTTCTGCATTTTGGTGAAATCTTCAATTAAGCGTCGCCCCCATTTATTTTTTATTACAGCGAGATGAAAAGAGGGTAGGATCTACGCCTGGGCGAAGGCTTGTTTGAGGTCTTGGAGCAGCATGGAGGCCATGACGCTCTTTTCTGTGTTGATGGTAAGCAGCGCTCCCGAGGACTCGCTCAGTTCTAGAGACACCAAGACCAGAGCTCTGCTGCTGACTGTCTGCCCAGCAAACCTGCAGGAGAGGAGGAACACTTGGATCAGTTTCAAACAACCAAAGAAGAAACCAGGAACTGAAGTGCAAGGCTGAAAGTGGGGACCTTAAAAGGCACATATGGGTCATACTATGAGCGACTGTTTAATTCTATACCACCGATAAATAAAAATTTATATAATTTTTATGATTACTGATCTTATTTGATGACCATCTTTGAACCTGTCCAGTGTAGAGGCTGATAACAACAGATAAACCAGGCGAATGACATTACCCCCTATAAGTAAACAAAGATATTAAGCCAATGCTGCAATTTAAAATGCAGATTCAGTGCTGACATTTTTGTCTGCTTGATTAGTTTGTGTTATTTCATACCCAATAACTTTAAAGTCTTTCAAACATTCATCACACCATCTGAACATTTGTCTGCAAAAAACTGAAACAGAAACATTAGCACAGATGTCGGCAAGTATCTTTTTAAAAATGTTATTGTGATATCAGCTCATATATCTATTAATCTCTACTGTACGCACAAAAAACAACAACTTTACTAAAATTTTACCCCTTCAGATCCACATAAACACTGATAAATGATAAATGATAATTGCATTGTTTCCCCAAAACTCATAAATCTTTGCAATGGAAGCTTCTCTAACATCTCACACCTTGTAATTGCCCTAAATTAGGCAATGAGACAAAAGAGGAAAACGATGTGACAGGAAATACAGAGAGCAATGCAACAGACAGTTCATTAGGGAGGAGACACGCCCTGCAGTCAGTCAAACTCTATTTCTCCTGTTTTTATGGACTCCGAGTGTCTGTGAGTGTGTGGGAGCCCCGAGACCAGTATGGGGGACGCTCCGTCCAACCAACTCCCTGTGGGCAGTGAGGAGAATTCTCAGCCTCCCGTTTCCTTGGATACCATCCCCTGTAGACTGGGGGCATATCTGTGCACACATGGTCCCCATTGAGAGTGCTAACAAGAGGCAGACAGGGGCTATGACCCAGTGTGACCCTCTTTGAGGGTGCCGGGCTCCCTCTCCTGCCCCCCTTTGGCCCTCTGCATCTCTGAGCCTCACGTGGCTAACTCTCAGCCATCTGCCTCCATTTAGCACTACATCGCGCAACAAAGACCCCCCGTGGCAGCCCGCTTAGGCCTGACAAACAGCCCACAAAGAGCTCCACTTAGGCCTGACTAAAGCCTGTGAAGAGCCCCCACAGGATGGCCCGTGAACAGGCGCCGTCACAGAGGCTGCGTGGTGGGAGCGACTAGCACATCCACCAATTAGCGCGCACACGTTAAAGATGGGAAGGGGGGTGGGGGGGCACATGCGTACACAATGAAGCCCAGTGTGTCTGTGGTGTGTCTCTGGGGATGCTGCTAAATTACCATAAACAGAGAAGAGGGAGTTTATCAGGGAGCTCTCAGGGAGGAGAGAGAGAGTCCTCCTCAGGCTTAATTAAAATATTAGCCACTTCAGCAGGAAACAGCAGCCATTCATGAAGAGGATGAATTTCTCTCTTGCAAAAGTACCAACCTCTTTTGGCCCGCTCTTATTTCTTTAAATAATTCCGGGCATGTGTATTCATCTAGGTTTCCAGCTGTGTGCAGGATGTGTCTGCAGCTGCACTGCATTCCAATCAAAACAACAAAATCCTACTTGTGCTAAGGAAATGTTTTCTTTTTTCACCGGAGAATCACGAACAAATCTAAACATAAACGCTTGTCCCTTGCCCTGTTCCCTAACCCTCCCTCCCCCCACTGTCAAACAGCCTAAGGTGTCTATGTGGTCCCTGTGGCTTTGCTAATAGATTTAGGATATAAATCTTTTATTTACTCCGACAGTTAACACTACCCCGAGGCTGCTTTTATTTCGTCTCAGGAGACGCTGCCATGGGCTTTTGTTCACGTGTGGTAATAAGAGCGACTGAAAGAAACATGATTGGGTTTGATTTCTGAGCGTATTTGCTTTGAATACTTTCACTTTGCTGTCTGTAGCTGTGTGCAGGTGCAAAAAACAAAACAAACAACAAAAAAAACCCCATAAACATCAGACAATCTCTGCGCGTTTTTAAGGACTAAAAGGGGGAAAGATTAAGGTCAAGCGCGCCTTAAATGGGTCATTGGTATTCTCCTGCACTCTTCACATATCGGGCTAAACACTGGATTAATTGCAGTGTATGGAAAGAAAAGCAAAGCATAACCCCTGGACTTAGAGCAGGTGGATTGGCATCGATCGGCAGGGCTGCGGCTAAGCATCACTCTCCAATTATCTGTGATTCTCCTCAGTGCAGAGAGCCTGTGTGTGCCATCTGCCTCCCCTCCACCCCGTCACTGGAAACACAACGTCGGCTTCACCTTTACATTCAGCCTCACGCGGAGAAGACAGCGAAGGCCCAGAGGATACGGCTCGGCACGCAAGAATGGATTAAGTACACACTCCTCACCCGCATCTCAACTAAACATGCAACCATGTTTGATTAAAGAAAAAAACAAAACAAAAAAAAACCCCATCATGTATGTTTTCACCAAAATCAGAAAGGCTGAAGCTGACTGTGTGGAGACTACAGCTGGATGCTAGAGCCATGCTGGTTCTTGGCCAGGTGGACAAGTGTCCTTCAACTGAGTGGTCCGTGAGGCCAGACCAGAGCTGAACACAAGCGAGCAGACTCAACCGCGGCCAGGCAGATGGCCAAAGCTATTAGCCCCGGTTAGAACCAGGAACCCTCCGCGCATCTCCAGAGCTAAGCCATACAGACAAACTGCAACACTGCACTCAAAGGGCAGAGGGACAGACAGACAGCAGAGGACAAACACAGACCAGAACAAGAAGATAAAAGATAAAATAAACCTGCCACAGAGGACATTTGTGTAATTAGGCCGGTTTTAAACAGAGACAACTTCAGTGAAAAAGAGGAAAATCCAGTGTTTAGACAAAAAAAATAATAATATCAAATTGTAAAGTAAAGAGAATGAACTGCTTATAAATCAAGCGCCTGAGGTTTTTATTTATTTATTTATTTTTCGCTTTTCAAAATTAGCCTCTAACAGGAGGGATTGGCAATGCATGCAAAATTCGATCAAATTTGCTTTCAAACGGACTGAAAAATAGAGCACATTTATTCTATTCCGCCTGTTTAGACATAAACAAGAACAGCGTTTTCTACATTTGCTTTCCTGCTTGATTTATTGCCATCCTCCTTTCCAGCAATCAATTTTTGTGTTTCAGTGGCATCCCCACCCCTCCACCTCCGCTCAGCCTTCACGCCTGTTTGGGAAAAGCAGTGCTGCACCCTGCTGATAAACAAGGGGAATGCAGGGATGTAGATGGGAGGCGGGGGGGGTTGGGAGGAGGCAGGCTGTTACTTTGTTAAAAAGCACCTGTGCCGACAAGAGCGCTGTGATCTATAACACAAAGCCTCATGAGCAAGAAGTGTGTGTTGTGAACTGTATCATTCTTGGGCTTCATATTGAAATCCCATCCATTATTTCTACATTAAAGCCCAAGTCTCACTCTGCAAAGGGGAGATTCCTGTGTGATCTTACCAAGATTAGAGGCCTTTCTCCAGGGAGATCAGAGCAGAAAAACAGGGCCTGGATTGGAGGTCACCTCACATACCACATTTAATGCAGAGTGACCTCTACGATAAGCTCTCAGTGGGTGTATCCGATCTGATCGATCACTCGGCTTTGTGTGTGTGGGTTGGGGTGTTATTCAGGGGGGAAACAGTAACACACAAATACCACAAGTAAAATTTTCACCAGTGCTCAAACACGGCGCTAATATTATGCTATTTTTTTTTTCACTGCAGATTCGGAAATATAAAGATTTATTGCTTTACACTGCTTCATGCACTGATCTGTCACAACATTAAAACCACCGTCTAATGTTGGGTACGTCACATCCACATGGTCTCCCAGCAGGACACTGGACTGTAACAAGACTGCAAATGCTTTTCACTTTACCAGGCTCCATGATATATTTAGGGGTGGGTTTTGATTATCGATTTATTGATTAAAATCGATTCTAGCTTGGATAACGTGATATCGATTCATTAAAATCCTGAATCGATTTTTTAATATAAATTTATTTTGCCTGAGATGCCAGAATCTCAGGTTAAAACTCACAAAATTTCAACAACCACCAAACAGCTAAAACAGTAAATGAGAGCAGGAACACGGATTCTGCACAAAGACGTAAACACAAAGCTCGGACCTGCCGACGGATCAGAATCAGTGAGATGTCGCCTTTCTCACCCGACGGCACGGACACAGTCGGGGCTGAAAGCCGGCAGCTCGCCGATTCTGATGTTTCGGCGGGTCCGCGCTTTGTGTTTACGCCCCTTTTGCGCTGATTCTGAAGCTGTAGGTTTTATCTCTCTCCAAACAATATTGACTGAACCAGCAGCAAAAGAAGATCCAAACTACGCTTCACATAAACATCGTCATGAATTCCCTCTGACTTTTGCTGTTTTGCTTCCATCACGATAAAAAAAAATATGCTTCGTTCGTGTCTCTCTCTCTCTCAGTGTACTTCAAGAACAGTTTCCTGTCTAAAAATCTGTTTTCTGCATTATTCTCTTGCTTATTATGCACAAGTCTACCGTTGTTTACAGCGCTGCCGGCCGCTGTCTTTTCCTTTTACTTACTTCTGAAAAGAAAGCCTCATTTCTGCTGTTCAATAGGCTTCTGAACAAATTTAAACTTAAAAAAAAATTATGCAAAATTGCAAAACGCTTAAGATGTGTCTCTAATAAAAACTTTGTAACTTTGCTCTGCTTCACTTCAGCAGCATCAGGTACTGTTCATATGTTGATTAATGGTTTTCTTTTGTTTTTGATCTACTGCAGAATATTTTTATAAAAATCCCAGGCCAGGAAAATCACCTTCACGTTTTTCTGTGTTTTATCTTCAGCTACTTTGACACAAAGGCATCTGCTGTGATGCTCACACCTTTGATAAAGTCTCGCAAGTGTCAGCTCTCTTTTTATAGATACAAAAATATGGAAATGTGCTGATGCATGATCTGAATTATAATATTTTTGACTGTCTGAGGCAAAATTTCCTCGATTCAAATCGAATCGAATCGTGGATCAAATCGATTCGGGACCTTGTGAATCGTAATCGAATCGATTCTAGAAACCAGTGACCAGCCCTAGATATATTTGACTGTTTGGGGGATTCAGAAGAAATGCTGGACTTCTGATGGGCGAGTTTCACTACTTTATACAAACTGTTTCAACAGATTAATTAGCTTAGGGTTCAGTATCTTGCCCAGAAATAGTTGGGGATCAAACTACAGACCTTCTCTTTAGCAGACAACCCGCTCTACCTCCAAAACCACAGGGTTGGGAAATGATGATTAAAAGCAGTCTGCTGACATTGTTAAAGAAAGACACATCTGCAAACTTCAGACTGCTCATTGTCTGGCCGACCAAACAAAATATCTACATCTGAATAGCCAAAAGCAGCACTTTTGTGCTTTTCAAAACTATTTTCATAATTAACCTTAAAACTGTATGTTAAGTCTGTATTGAAAAAAAATCACTTTTGCATCTCAGGAGCAGCTCAGGAGGTAAAGAGAAGTTCAGCAGTCCACTTCCTGAGCTCCTCCATCCTGTGTGATACTGAACCATAAACTGTCCCAACGCATTCATCAGTAGGGTCAGCAGGTAGAGCAGGTCATCTGCTAATTAAAAGGTTGGTGGTTTAATTCCTGGCTGCTCCAGTCTGCATGAAAAAGTATCCTGAACCCTGAGCGTTCATTGGAAAGAGGCATGTTGTATAAAACCCTTAGAATGCTCAAGTAGAGTTAAAAAGCACTACAGAACCAGTTCGTCTGTGTGTGTGTGTGTGTGTGTGTGTGTGTGTGTGTGTGTGTGTGTGTGTGTGTGTGTGTGATTAGACTAGACAAGCACATTTAGCATTACTCTTGCCAAATCACTTTATGATTATTATATGTTTTCCATTTTATTAGGTTACCACATATAACCACCTCTTACAGATCACGCTGTCAAAGATGTCAGTTATGTTTGAGGAGACTGTCAGAGAGGAACACCACCTTCTCCATCAGACAGACCTCCATGGGAAGCAAGTGCGGAAGAGGTGGTCACCGTATGGACAGCAGCGGACCATATGGAAGAGCGTCTTTATCACTAGAAGGGTACGGGGTAATGCTGGGATGCTGTCCTCTTCTTCAGCAGTCACAAATGTAGCAGGGAGATTGATAGCGTGGAGTCATTTGAGCTATCGGTTATTCTGAATGAAGTATGGGCTTATTGGATGCACGTCTTTCCTACTGGCTAACATTGATTTCCACTCACTCTTTCAGCTCCCTGTACCCTTGTGCAAATGTGTCCCTCTTCTTCGCTTGTCCCTTATTTAGCCAGCTTCTCCAACATTTCTCCTCTATTGTGGCCTTAATCCATAAAGAAATTATCACAAGATCACTCAGAGATGAGCAGACAGAGACACGGGCCGGTATTAACAGACAGACACAGAGACCGTGAGGAGGTCGGAGCGCGGTGCAGAGGGATGGAGTGAAAGACAAAGAGGAAGTGAAAGAGAGACAGCAGCGCAGAGGGAGAGACAGATGGGGGTGCAGAGATGAATTGAAAGAGAGACAGAGCAGGAAACAGAGGGAGAGAGGGAGGTGTAATTATCTATCAGGTGTTCGGGTGTGCGTGACAGAGGAGGAAGCTCATTAGCACACTCTGTGTACACCAATTACACAGCCAGGCTTCTCAGGGCATTCCCCTGGCATGTCTATGTGAGGCTGCTGGGGACAAACAAGCACTTCCACTCAGTGACACCCACATGCACGCTGCTTAACCAAACTCGGCCTAAAATGCACCGGGCGCCCGGGAACAACTCGCAGACAGTAGTGTAAGACTACTAAATGTCTGATATGAGTCCTTATCGTTGGTGTTAGCTGCACAAACATCTTTTTTTTGGTGAGGAAAGATTTGCTCGTAAGTGTTGGTTTGTTTTTTTAGAATGCAGCACTCCATTCAAAATGTAATACTAATATTAGGGGGAAAAGGTTCATTATAATGTACTTTAACGTGATAACTCTTTTACTATTAGGTACACTTTACTTGGATCTCCTTTCGCCATCTGCCTTGAAGTTTACGACATTCTTCAAAGATTCAACAAGCTGCAGGAAACACTCCTCTGAGATGTGGTGGAACAACAGAATGGTAACATGGACCAAAATCTCAAAGGTGTTATTGGATTGAGATCTGGTGGCTCTGGAGCTATTTGAGTACACAAAGTGTCCAGAAAGGGATGGAGACAGCAACAACACTTGCTTCTAAGGATCCCAAAGTGTCCGAAAAAAGTAGAATTATAAGACCACCATCATCAGCCTGATCCATTGATATCAGACAGAATAAACCAACACCATCATGCTGTTTAGACCCAATTCTGAACCTGCCATCCAAGTATCGCAGCAGAAATCAAGACTCATCAGACTAGGTGATGTTTTTGCAATCTTCTATCCAATTTTGGTGAGCCAATGCAAACTGTAGCTTGAGTTTCTTGTTTTTAGGTGACAGGAATGTCTTCTGATGCTGTGGCCCATCTTGCTTCAAGGCTTAATCTGTTGCACATTCAAAGATGCTGTTATGCAAAACGTTGTTAAAAAGTTTGTCACCTTTCTATAAGCTCAATCTCCTCTGACTTCTAGCACCAACCACCATTATCGCCCAGAGAACTGCTGCTCACTGGATGTAGCATTTCTCTAAACTCTAGAGCTGGTTGACTTGGATAAATCTGACACCAACCACCATACCACATTCAAAGTAACTTCAATCACCTTTCTTTCTCATTCTAATGCTCAGTTTGAAGTTCAGCAGAACATCCTGACTACATGCCTAAATGAATTGAGTTGCTGCTGTGTGCCATGTGTAATCTCGAGGCTTCAAACTGATATTCCACAATCCAGTGGGTGTCGTCACAGTGGTTCTTTTAATCTTTTATGTAACTAGTATTCTCCCTTGAAAATAAGACCTCAACAAGACTTAAGTGATGAAATAAAATCACCTTGTATTTGAAGGAATAACTACAGTTCAAGTTAACTTTGGTAAAGGACAATTAACAGTGACCCTTAAGCCAAACGCTAAAGCCATCCGAGTCTGTACTGACTTGGCACACAAACGTTATTTCACGTCTTTTTGCTAAGCTAACCAACTGTTGGTGGTAGACAACCCAAAAAACACACATCTGAAAGAAAAAAAAAAATCATAGTGCTTATATAAGAAAATCTCAAATCTATTTGCAGGTCCAATCTATAGCAAGAAAAAGAGCTTGATAATAATGGAGATGTGAATGACCTTTACCTGCTGAAGTTGTTTTGACTGGAAGGCACTTCTCCTACGTTGGCTACAGACAGGACCTGCTTGTTGATGGCTTGCCTGGATGCATTAGCTGTTGCCATGGTGATGGTTGCAGATGTTTCATTCATGCCCTGGAGCTTACCTGAGAAGATCAAAATGTTTAGCCACCAATAAAAATATAGTTCGGCATTTTTAAATCAGTAAGTGCAAAATTACACAAAAGTCCACAGTCAAGTACAGAAAAAAAACACAACCCTAGCTGTGCAGTACTGTGGAATCAGGTTTCAAGATTAAAACCTCCCAATGAAATGATGTCTTCATCAATAAAGCAAAAACAGACTCCCTGGTTGGTTCATGAACACTCAGCAATGAGCAAGCAGTTTAAAAGAAAATCACTGGTTAGGTAAAAATAAAAGAGACAAATATATTAAAAACCTATTACCATAAGAATTAAACTCCACTCATTTGGTTTTAAGAATGATAAATCTGCTAGAGAGAAAATGGTCCTGAAAAGCAAGTTGTTCTTTTTAAATTCTTTTGTCTGCGTTTCAGAGGCACTCAAAGAAAAAGGCAAAAAAGCACATTGAATGAAACTTAATTAATGCAGGAGCAGCATTTAGGAGGCACTTAAGAGCACACTGATGGCTCAGATATGAGAGTACACTCTCCAGTCTCAATAGCGACAACAGCATGCACTTCTACAGGTGTTTGTATGTGCTGGAAACACTGTTAAGTGCCTCAAAGAAGCAAGCAGTGTTTTAATGACAAAGAAAGAAAAGAAAAGGAAATGCTGATTAGTGATCGACTAAATTTAACATTTGCCTGTGTGTGTGTGTGTGTGTGTGTGTGTGTGTGTGTGTGGAGTGTGTGTATTTTGTATCTATCTATCAATCACAATCAGAATAACAAAGTCACAATATTGCAAACTAACCAATCAAGTCATTCATATTTCTCATTTTCTGTGAAGCTTCATTACCGATTTGTCAAAAGCATCTTGCCATAGCGTGGCCTGACGGCAGTTGCAGCAGCAGAGATCTTCTAAATACAGCAAAAACCTACGGCTTCCTTCAGGTGGCTAAAATCTCTTTTGCTGTTCTGACCGTGTCTGCTCAGTTTCTGAGCCGTTCAGAGCTCCTGACTGCTTCGAGCAGTGCCTGATGCCAAATACTTTAACACCCTGACAGTACAACATCTGAAAAACTCAACTATCCTCAGTAGAGGAAAAACAGTTTAAATGGTTTCATTTGAAGGTAATAAACAAAGTGAAATTCGCTGATAAGCGCAGCAGAATCTTAAATATGATCTATTAAATTTATTTGCTTCTCTCAAATTCATCAGCCAGTTTTGCTAAAGTGCTTGTGAGATTATAATAATTTCAGTATATATCATGAATTGACATTTCCATCTCAAAATATGGTGATTTGATTCAATTTGGTTCAATTTGTTTGCTTCTGTGTGTTAAACACCTTGTTTCATTTCAGCTAACAGAACGGAAAAACAAGACACACTTTTACTTCGTTCGACAATCATCTTTGAGTCACACAGTAATTCACCTTGCTCCTTGCAGAAGTCTTGTTCTGTCATGGTGCTGGCCATTAACAACTCTCCTACAGCAGGCTGGATGGACACACTGAACTGGTCCTCCTTGGTGCTGAGGAAGGATAAACACGCACATACCACAGTAGCAAATGAGTTATTTACAGAAGAAAAAACAAAAACAGATTCTTACAAAGAAATAAGCAAAAATGCCCCCCCCCCAAAACAAAACAAAAAAACAAAAAACCAAACAAACAAAAACACTTTACTGCTTTTTTGCTGCATAATTTAAGACATCTGTGCACTTTTGTGTATGTATGCTCGGTTTGTGTATGAAATGTTTCTCTGATCATCTTGTAAACCATGCTGGGTGAATGGCATTTTGGGCCACATTGATCCCCCCGTCCGCCCAATCTCAAACTGATTTTCTGATAAGGTTATTGATCGGCTGCACAGCGGTGCCAATGGCATTCAGCAGGTTGATTGGGCTAGGGCTGATTACTGGAGGAATAATTGTTATTCCAGTGAACCAGGATCAATTGTGCCTGATGTCTCACCTGGGAGTGCTGGCACAGAGAAAGGTAGGAAAAGGAGAATTAACAAAGAACACGAAGAGAGGAAAAAGGAACATAAGAGAAAATGACATGTAAGGGTGCTGCGATGATGAACAGGAGCAGAAAAAAGGTGGTGAGGAAGATGTACAACTGAAGGTCTTTGGGGTGGGGGTGGGAGGGGGGGGGGAACCACACCTGACTGAATATGAGTGGATGTCAGGCTGTCTTACCACAACTGGAAGTTGGCTGCTTGTGTCGAGTCACTGAAGTCAATACCCATGGATACCGTCACCGAGGCCCCTGGCTCCAACCGCTCTGAGAGTGGAAAAGAGGGGAGGGAAGACAAGAGGAGCAAAGGAATCAGTGAGTGACAAGGGCACAGTGTGCAGTGTGGGGAAGGTGGAGAGAAGGGAGGTGGGGGCAGCAGCAGAGTGGAACAGACAGGCATCCACACCACTTGTGTTTTCTACTTCACAAAGCAAGGCCACCGTGTGTGAGAAATCTATCCTTCAATCTCATTCCACACACCTCAGCCTCAGCTACAAAAAACAAAAAACATGAAGGACTAGCATATTTCCAAAACAACAGGCTTGTCAAAGGGAGCATCAGCACAGAGAGAGAGACAGAAGTGAAGCAAAGCCAAAAATGCTGAAGAGTGAATCTGGACAGCTGAATGCTAGAGGTGATGGAGGAGGAGGAGGAGGAGGAGTGGGAGGTTAACGATGAGAAGAACACAGAGAGACAGAAACATCCTGCACGCCTCCCTACTCGGCCTGCGTTTCTCTCTCTGTGGAGCAGGCCCGTTTACTGTACAACTCTTTCCGCAGATAGAAGAGGAGGAGGAAGTGGAAACCCAGTGAAAAACAGAGCCGTCATGGACGCCCTCCAATCCAGCCTTCTGTGATGGGCTCTATATCAAGTAAAGGGTTTGCTTTGTCTTTAGGGTCTTTGAGTCTGTACACAAATAAATAAGCAATGTGCACTATTAGCTAGAGCTGGGAGATAGAACGATAACGATATGTATTGCGAAATAACTTTTTCTCGATAGAAAAGTTAAACTATTGCGATAGGCCTCATCTCTCGTCCTCTTAAAAAAAAAAGGGAAAAAAAGAAGTAGAAGAAGAAGAACAGCCAATCCAAATTAAATAGTGCAGAGCCGAACTAATCACAGCCACAGCGTCACGTCAGGTGACTTATTACGTACAGCACAAGTGCCAAGCCGCACGTGTGTTTGTTTGGTAAGCAGCCAGCCGCCGTGCCGCCCGGGTAATGGAGGAAATGAGTGTGCTGACTAGAGAAAAATCAACCGAGAGCGTGACCGAAGGTTACCGAAGAGAAAACAGATGATGGCTCCAATGCCGGAGAGATTGTTGAACGGAAGAGCCATAGAAGTTCCGTAGTGTGAAGGTATTTCTGCTATTTCAAGTCTGACAAAAAACAGCGCGCACTGTAAATTGTGCCGAAAGCAAGTCTGGAAATACAATAAACCGGTACATGCTCAATCTCTGACTGGAAGCGCTAATTCGTCATTCGGCTTTTGTCAGACTAAAGTAACTGTTAAAACTGTTTGAAAAGCTAAGCTATACAACAAGGAGAGATTGAGAATTTTCTTTTAGTTCTCAGTTTATTTGATATTGACAAAAGTTAGTCAATTTTGTCTGTTCTTCTGTAAAACAAACTAAGATTTATTTTCAGAATTAATATTTTGTTTCTAAGTGGAATCGACAATTTAGTCTGTTTCGTTTGTTCTATTTTGAAACTTAAACGATTTAGCGGCTGCCTTTTGTGTAGTTTGCAATATTTGCCTTTATTTATCTGAAAAAGTCTCATGTTAAGTACATCTACCCTGTTGAACTTATTATGGGAAATAAATATTTAAATCAAAACAAGCTGCTGATTATTTCACATTTTACTTGTGAGCAACGGCACATTTAAATCTTACAAATATAGTTATTTAGCTTATATCGTGATAGATATCGTTATCGCCTGAAATGAAAAAAACATATCGTGATATGAAAAAATCTTATATCGCCCAGCTCTACTATTAGCTATTTATTTTATTTTAAGAAGAATATCGACTGGGTTGTGAACACTCAGCGGGGTGTAAGGACCTCTAAACAAGTAGCAAAGGAACAGTTTATTCTTGTTTTAGTATTTAAATTTTTTTATTCTAACACAGGGTAAAAATTGGAGATAATCTAACACGGACTGGGGAAGAAGATAATCTGCATTACACCTACACATGTAATGTACATATCCACTAATCTAAATCTACAATAATTGTTTTGGCCATATTGAGATAAGCTACATGTAAAGTACTTGTTCCAAATGAGTTAACAGAAAAGCTGTTAATTGGTTTAGGAACATGTCGGTAAACAAATCAAGTAATCAAAGGGCAAGATTTCATATTAAATACAAACTGTGTCATGTATTTCTCCTCACCACACATTAAGGTTTGTCTGTATTCGTCCTCTGCAAATTATCCAAATAAAGTTCAGCCGCCCACTCGCCGGGCTCAGTTGATCCAAATTAGAAACTGTTTGGCTGCTCGAGTTTCTTCAATGCCCAATCAATCTCCCCGAAACTGACAGTTTTAACATGCTCTGACGCACAGCAGTTCTCTTTGTGTGTGTGTGTCTACACAAATGGAATATACCAAGTGTAGTCATCATACAAGAGTGTGTAAGGGCAATAAGTGTGAGTGTATGTTTGTTTGTAATGATTAGAAAAGGGATTAGCTGAAGTAACGTTGGCTGTTTTCAGGCTCAGGGAATGAGATGGTGTCATTAGCTGATGAGAGGTTACAGGTTTTTTTTTTAATTACATTCATTAATATCCATTTAACAAAAACAAACAACTGCACAAGATGATTGTGCACAATCAGGAGTGACCTGATTGTGAGTGCACTGGTCAGATCAAGGAATTCTTTTAAGTCACTATCCAGAACAACGGTTAATCCACTGACTGGAAAACAAAGACCTCACCACCGCTGCCAGAACATCAAGGACTCAGTGACAGTAATACTGCCTCAAACATTTTTACTAATGCAGAATGACATAAAACGGCAAAAAAAATAAATAAACAAACATTTAAATGAGTTTACACAACATGAAAAACGTCTAAAGCTTCGAGTGTTGTTCTGGTTTAAAAGTCAGGTTTGTAGTATGGTCATTGCTTGTCCTATAGGCAGACTCTAGGAGGCCTAAACTCAGACTGAAGTGGCTGCTGACTCAAACAAGCTCAAACAAGGTGTGAAGAAAGACTTATCAGGACTGAGCAAAAGAGAAGAGCAGAGAATCTGAGTAAACTTGCACTGCTCCCTGACAGGTTCTCAGGACATCTGCCAGATTAAAAGTACAAGGGATAGAATTATCTCCTTTCTTGTAATAAAAGCTAGCCCAGTGTATTATACGCTAAAGGAAGTAATAAAGGAAGCAGTGATAGTATTTTTGTTAGTATTTGCAGAATTCTAACAGCTCTTATTATCGCTGCCACTCACACACTCTGGGTCACTGATCTTTTTTGCTTGTGAGACAAAAAGCTTCTTCCAGTGAAACCCCTCGACACATGCATTGTAACTAAATTACTAAAAGTAGTAAAAGTTTGGCTTATAAGCAACTAAAAACAGCTTGCAGAAGCACAACAAAGCATGCTAAGGAAGAACACATCAGGAGACGATACATCATTAGCACAGATTTAAAACTGTAAAAGAATTACAGAACATCATCCAGTTCACATATTTCTTTTGTTAGCACTGATGTAAATCCATGACCTACTTTAATTATAAGATAATGCTGAACATGTGCCATCCTGATTAAAAATAAGTAGTGTGCTTACTATTTACTGGGTTTGTGATGACCCACTGTGGAGTATTTACTGAAATCAAACTCACCAATGGTGTTAAAGCAGTGGATGTTCAGGCTTGCAGGGCTCTGGTCTCCTATATGGATCTCCTCCAGGGCGTGGTCTGAGCTGTTGGTCAGTATGACCTGTACTGCAACCATACTGGGCTGGAACAAACATGGCTGCCTGGGGAAATGGTACTTGGCCGACAGACCTTTTCCTGTCATATGGTGAAGCAGCTCATAGGTTTTCAAAGGGCCAAAAGATGAAGTGGTGACCTGGAAGGACATATAAAACAGGGATATACCACTGGTTCTAAATGTGGGTTTTTTGGAGTCATTTTGAGAAAACAAACAATGCTGACAAAAAAAAAAAAAAAAAAATCATAAAAAAATGATCATTATAGTAATAAACTGCAGTTTGGGCAGGAATGAACCAAAGCCTGCTGATGATTAAAAAACAAAAACAAACACCGAACAAAATCGCAAATCCAGCACATTACCCAACAGCGTAAAGCTTCCTGAATCAACACAAAACCAGAGACTGCTTTGTACATTACAGCGCAAATGCATCAACACAAAAAGTCAAATTAATACAAGAATCCTCGGTTTGCCCATCACCTATATTCACGCAATTTATTTTATCCAATCAGCGGCCAAAAGGCTGCATTTTTAGCAATGTGGGACGAAGTGTTGGCTGCCCGCTCTCCTACCCCAAAGGTCCCTTTATTAACTCTGTAGGATAAAGAGGAGCGCATTTAAGAAATGCCCTCCAATCAGCCCAGTTAGATGGAAATGGGCTGGATGCTCAGTCAACCCAGGCTGAATAAAAACAACCTCTAATGAAAAGAAACACAAGTGCCTGCATGGGCCAAAACTGCCATTCGCTGGCCTTTTAAAGGGGCTTTTACCTTTTCAGAGGCAGAAAACAGCATTAACTTAAAAAACATACAGACATGAAATGAGGGGGAAGAGTGTGGTTGAATGTTTTTTTTTTTTTAAAAAAAATGTAAAAATTAAACATCTCATTACTAGAATAAAAATTGTTAACAACCGGTGCGGCTGAGATTTTTATCTGATGCTCTCGAAAGAGAAGATAGGACAGCCAGCAGTGGTACACTACACAATGCAAAGTGAGGGGGGGAATCATCATGTGCACAAACACCAGACACACCTCTGCTGTAGGAGGAAAAAAAACACTAAGTTTGAAGAAAAAAAAAATCTCCAAAGTATGACAGCTTTCAGTAGTTTAACAGTCAATAGAAGTCAAAGGCTCTTCTGTCTGGAATGACAGCACTAATTAGTTAAAAACATGAGACAGATATAGCCTTTTCACACCCTCTGAAACAATTAGCACCTGAATGCACTCACACACCAGCACAGAGCCTAAACAGATGCATGTCATTCTGGTGAAAATAATGATGAGTACAGAGACTTAACAAAAAAAAATTAAAAAAAAATCTATTTATCACCTGAAAGAGATTAAAAAAAAAAAAAAACTCAAATAAGTCACAAGAGTAACAAAATGAATGGCAAAAGAAAAAAAAACAAAACAAGCGGTGGAAGAAAAACAGATCCTGTAAATAAATGATTAAGCGAGGTGTTTCAACTAACAGAGTTAATTGAATATGACTAAGAATATAATGCGAGGAAACTGTGGAAACGGGCGGGCTTGATGGTATATCTCAGCGTGTTGAGTAGTGTCAGCGTGCATTGTTTTATTAAAGTTGAACGCGCTGCCAGAGCGCTCTCAGTTGGGTGGGAAATGTAAAAGGCATCCTTCGCCTTGTCATGTGCTGCGTGAGGATGAAGAATCGCTTTGACATACGACGAGAGCTGCCGAGACGAGTCTGAATGTGCTCGCTTTCGAGGAAGCGATCAGACGAAATCAGACACTATCGCTGTACTCTTGGAGCAACGTGCTGAAAAGTTTGGATAAATTTGATGAACAAACAAAGACACAAATGTAAATTAGACAGCATCATAGTCTTCTTTGCTTATTTCCTACTGCATACTCTCCATCTGGGGACTATTAGACTAGCTTTATGAGACTGAAGGCTCAGAATAACTTTCTCAGTACCTCTCCATTTAACATCCAGAGCTGTGTGCCTGAGATGACCACATTAAGGATATTTCCTCTTAGTGACATCATACAAACCAAAGATTGAAAGAAAAAACAAAACAAAAAAACATCTGAAATCAAGTTTTCAGAGTTTTTGCTCACAGGGATTACTTATACACTGACCATCATATGAAACTTGTTCAATGTGGCCACTCATCACTTTAGAATTTTCTGTCATATATACACTATGTTTCAACAAATACTATACAAACAAAATTTAACAGCTTTCTTCAGCTAACGAGTACGGCAGATTGAGCCTAAAATCTGATGTACGCAGTGGATTGACCCTGGATTAACATTAACCCATGGGACATAAGTTTATTTTCCCAGGCCTTAAAGGTTAGCTAGTAGCTCTCATCTCTTTAAAGTAGGGGTGGGCAAATCCAGGCCTCTAGGGCTGGTTTCCTCCAGGTTTTAGATGTGTCCTTGATCCAACACAGCTAATTCAAATGGCAAAATTACCTCCTCAATGTGTCCTGAAGTTCACCAGCGGCTTGGTAAAAGACTAATCATGTGATTCAGGTGTGTTTACCCAGGGTGAGATCTAAAACCTGCAGGACACCAGCCCAGGCCTGGAGTTGCCCACCCCTGCTTTAAAAGGGACATCCACAGATTAGTAGCAGCATGTCAACCAGAGACCACGCCGTGACCACGACATTCTGCAACTTCAAATAACGTCCAGGATGCCCAGAAAGAGAACCCAGTGCTTGTGGACTCAGGTAAACTCAGCTCTGCCTCAGATGCACGTAAATCCCTTCCAAGCTGATGTCGCCTTGGTACAAGAGGAGAAACCAAAGATCAGTCTGAAGCCTGCGCTGTTGGCTGAGTCAGATAAATGGTAATACACCGAATTCATTCTTTTGCTTTTATAATCACCTCATTGTAGACCTTTGCTGAGACTGCTGGCTTAGTTATGGTTCCTAGGCCCTTCCATTAGCTACACTGCAATAGGCCTAGGCTGCTGGGGGCTTCCCATAATGCACTGTATTTGTTCTTCACTCACTTCTTTTCACTCTCTCTGTTTATATACCACTCTGCATTGAATCATTAGTTACTGTTCATCTCTGGCTCTCGTCCACAGTGTGTCTTTTGCCCCGTGTCCCTCCCCTCACCCCTAACATGGCAGATAGCTGCCCCTCCCTGAGCCTGGTTCTCTTGGAGGTTTCTTCCTGTTAAAAAGTGTTTTCTTCCGACTGTCGCCAAGAGCTTGCTCATAAAAAAGTCATGTGTTTTCTTTCTATTGTTTTAGGGCCTTTACCTTACAGAGTGCCTTAAGGCGACTGTCGCTGTGATTTGGCGCAATATAAATAAAAATGAATTCAACTGGATTCAACTCTGCCATTTCAGAAACAAATAAAAGCTAAAACAGTCACCTTTAAATAGGTAAGTGCCTCTGCAAGTATACAAGTAAGTAAACATCAGAGCTTTAACATTCATCTGCTGCTAATAGTAGGATTCAATAAATATTATATCAAGTATTACTTTTACTAAGTATGACATCTGTGGCTTATTTTCAATTATTTACTTCTTCAATAGTAACAAAAGACTTTTGGCCATTTATGTATTTTATTGCCACCAGTATCAACAAATTCATAACCACGAACACATACAGAATAAACTCTTCTAACAACAACACCATCATCTCCCCTCGGCGTCGTGACATGCTCGCAGCGTCTCTTGTCCCCAGACCGCCGTCTCTAAAGGAGGTCAAACAAACATTTGTTGCTGCGCTGTAACGCTGCTCTGCCCCCACAAGCGCCCGTCACGCCACCGCCGGCCCGCAAATTTATTGGGCCACTTTTGGATGTGTCAGAGCAGTCGGTGTCGATAAAGCTCGTCGTAATGTTTGCCACCCCATCACAGCAGAGATTTACCTCCCTGACAGACACATCCTGTTTCAAGGTCTTATCTGTCGCCTCGCCCCAAGCAGGCGGCAGGAGGGACGGACAGCGATAGGACAGGGTTTCAAACTGCTTATTATCACCAATTTGACACAGCGGACAGTTAAAGCCTGACACAAGTGCCCACGCAAGCCGCTTCACCCTTCCATCCATTGTTGTCCTGTTATGCGGTGCAAGCCCATAACACCTCAAGTGTAAATAAGAAGGGAAGAGGAATGTAACCTTGACTTCTCTGTCAGTCTGCCTTTTTTCCCTCCCCGCCTCTCTGAGCTTGGTTCTCAGTCTCCACCTTGGACAGGAAGGAGGGAGGTGACAATGAGCGAGGAAGTTGATTGAGAGGCTCTATTATGCATCAACTTAAAGGAAGCTCCCGTGATGGATGACACAGACACCAGTCACCTTCAGAACCCGGACGACACGTTCCCAGCATCCTCTCTGGCAAATGACCTGAAAATCCAGCTGACATATTCAAAAGGGCTAACCAGAGCCGGGCAGCCTTGTGCTGTGTGTATTAGAAGGCCAATTTCAAAGAAAGCAGGGTGAGGCGTACAGAGATGTATGGGCATATATTGAAAATCCATTTCTGTTTTTCAGACACCGGATTCCATTATGCTCTACAAGAGTTGTGAGGATTAAGGTGAGGGACATGTGTTTGACTTTAGGGCCTAATTGTTCCCTTCAGTCAGGAGATGACAATTAATTGAGGGCCGTCACAAGGACCTTGACTGCAAATTGAATTAAATAAATGTTACTACAGCCTCCTAAAACTACTTTAATGTAACAAGAAGTCTCTCTGGCGCATATAGACAGAGGTTAGTTCATTTATGCCAATTTGTCTGTAAATTAGGTATTCTAAAAATGATTAATTTTGAAATTTTCCATTAAAGACTATTAGCAATAATAGAGGACTGTTATTCAGAAACAGAGGTGTCCTTCATCGAGTTTTGCAAGTGCTGTCAACACTTTCTTTGAATTAGCATCATAGTCAAAAGATCTTCAACTGCAACCTGATTATTTTCTGCATTAACACTTAATAACTTGGACAATAATTGAATCAAAACACTAGAACTGAAGACTACGAAAGCAAGTGTTCAGATTTAATAGCTGCAGCCGTCAAATTTGAACCATTTGACTATTAAAATTGTGTGCCGAAACCTTTTTTGATGACCGATTCTAATCAGATAATCATTTCAGCTCTACTCAGAGCCAAATACAAAAACATGAATTTTAACTAGACACAACTTTCACAGACACTCGGATCAGGATTAAAGAATACTAACAGATGTATGCACGTGCTTATAAATCACAGATCATTCACTATCAATGTGCAGCACTAAAAATACTAGTGGATGATAAGAGTATACATTTACTCTGGCATAAGAATAAGGAAGCAACTCGCATATACTTGGATATTTTCCCAACATTGTTATTCACAGACAGACTTTGTGATTTGGTCACAAAGCTTTCATAATAAGAGCTTCTATTAAATCTTCAACACTTACTTTTAAGCACTCAACATGCTGCTCCTCTAACATAGCCATTGCTGCAGAGAAGACAGAGTGTACTACTGACACGGTTACTTTATTCACTTCTTCAAACAAACTTGTCAGCCATTCAAGCACTCAACTCCTACAAAGCACTGCTGACCCAAATATTGTCTGTGTTTTTTCTTTATTGGACACCACTGGGGGAACACAATTCTTGTATCCTTAGGTTTGTTATGTTAAAAGCAAAAAGCTATTAAACTTGACATCATATCAAGTTACAGCACATCTGCCTTGCCTACTCTCATTTGCTTTATGTCTGTGTTTGTCACACTGTCCCACATGGTATTGTGGGTCACCCACAAATAGTAACCCACTACTACTTGTGCATGGCACCGTGCTGTAGGGATTAACTGTGTTGCCTCACAGCAAGAAAGTTCCTGGTTTAAACCCCAGGTGGGGCTTTTCTTTGCCACTGTGGGTACTCCAGCTTTCTCCCAAAGTCCCACTGCCATGCATACTAGGTTAATTGGTAATTCAGCTGTCTGTCTCACATCCATGGCTAAACAGCTTTAAGTATATGAAAAATGTGACTTGTAGTCTGAAGCAATTGCAAGTCAATTACAATTGATTTAGATGTTATGCTTTACTGTCATTTTAATTAATATTTTAACATCTGGTTAAGGGAAAGCAGTTGACAGTTAGCTATGTAGGTGTCAGCTGCACATTTATTTGAGAAACACAATAGGAAAAACGTACTGTAGTTCAATTCAGAAAATACACTTATAATCACATATTTTATTAAAGTCCAATTATTTATGGAGGTCAAATCTTCACAAGCATTTTAATGCTATTGTAACCTTAACTTGAGGATGAGAAAACATGATGTATTGTGAGAAATGGACAGTAAAAGGCAGAAAAATAGCCTAGCAATTATGTTAATAACTGTAAAAATAAAGATTTAAGAGCTTACAGCAGTGGCCCCCATTAATTAAATGGCAAAGTGTTTTTGCTAAGACAAGTTTAGGTGTCAACTGTTAATAAAAACACACATATGATCATTAGAGGTTTGAGAGAACACGGTCATAACCTTAATCACGCCAGACCAATGGCGTCAACAAAACCTATATGAAAAAGATAAAATGCTTATATATATAAAAATAGATATAGAAAAAGGAATTGCGCCTGAAACAAACTTATTAATAAGCAAGAAGTGGCTAAGGCAGTTGCCATTAAAATACAAACATTTCCCAAACTACCTGCTGGCTACACTGACTGGCTGCTTCCGTGTGGGCATTTATTCCTACTTAAGCTGCAATCTCCGCAGTTTGAGTGGCAGCAGGAGGTTTGGAGGGCAGGAGCTTCTATATTCGTGGCGCTCGAGGTCCTTTTGCTGATTCATAATTAGATGTGAACCCAGAGCGCCCACTACGGGGGAGGTCAGAAGGGTGAGGAGGGAGGCGAGGGAGGAGGAGGGGGCGAGCTGGCGTCCGCCTGATGGACACCAAATGAACAAATTATGATGGCCCCCTCTGGGTGTGATGGGGTCAAACGCCCCGCGCCCCGCCGCTGACAGTTCAATTTCCCCCCAGCGCAGCCCCATTCGCTGACTGCTAATTATGAATGAAAAGTTATCAGCCTGAGCCACCCCGCCGCACACACGGACAGCGGTCGGAAGAGGTTTGGGGGTGAGGTGCGATGGTGGGGAGGATTTAAGAGGCATTTGTGAGAGATCCTAATGTCAAAATGTTATTAGAGAGAGCGGTAGCATGAAGAAGCTGAGGAGAGGAGGAGGAGACAGAGGAGGAGGTGGGTCAAAGACAGTGGCCAGGGTTAATCTAAATGCCTTTGATAACCATGCAGTAATTCTCTAAAAAGGCCCGAGCGCTCAGCTGAGACAGACTCGCTGCCTCTGTGGGCAGATTGCTGAGAAATAGAAATGACACTGGGGCCAACGTGTGTGTGTGTGGGTGTGGGAAAGAGCTGTTGTTGAAGAGCATGCATGGGGAGGGGCGTGCGTGAATAAAGGTGAGGTTATTTACCCTTGTCTATGAATCCCGTTGCCCATCATGTATTTATGCATAGAATTGACTCTAAATCAGATGTTGATGTGCAAAAAGTTCCCTGTTCTAATCTGCATTTCTATTCTCTATTACTCCCTGGCCTTCACCTGAGGAGAGATTGGCTAACAAGACTTGTGCTGCATAAATGCTGGCCTGAGAGCAGCTGTCAATCATACTGACTGACAGGCGAGCAGAACTGACGGGCAAACTTAGAATACAGACCAACGCACCGCAGGGCTACGCACAGCAGCAGAGGCCATTCACATAAGCTGGGAGTGCGCACACAGACACACACAGTTAAATCTGGGTGTACAAAAAGTTAGAGACAGCCTAAAGTCACTTTTAAAGAGACCAAAGGAAGCTCATTTACACGCCTGTGATGACAACAAAAAGTCAGCGGCGTTTACAGAGCAAAAAGCAAAAAAAACCAAACCAAAATGCAACATAAAAACATAGTAACCCACGCTCAGCCCTTCTTTATTATAGCAATCCACTTCAGTCTTCAGTTCCTTGGATGCCAGTAGTTCAGGAAGAGTCGGGGTTCACGTTTATAGTCAACAAATGACATTTATACAGTTATTTTATGCCTCGATTACGGTCACTGTATTCATTGTGTTGCGTGCCAACTGTGGTGCCAGAGGGCCCACTGCAGTCTTCTCATGAACAATAGGTTTCACCACTCACATAAAAACCTCTGTATCAGCACTGTATGCAAGACGAAGTCAAAACAGGAAGCACAGCAACTGTTTTTTGTTTTTCAAACACTTCACCAGACTGTCTCCTCTTTTTTTTTTTTTACCGTTGTTCTGCTTCTGTGTAACGTGAGAATCTCTGAGCTCCTGTCATTGAAATCGCAGTAAAGTGCGACAAAAATCGTGCTCACGTCTTTGAGCTGGGACAAAAACTGTGAATGACAAGTTGAAATGACACTAAAGCACAGTGAGCAGTTTTGATGTCACTTTTGGTGAGGGTGACAAAAGTGAGCAAAAGGCAATTGTTAGTTAGTAGAAGAGCTTCTAGTAATGGATTATAGTGGCAAAGAAGTAATGGGGGAAAACACCTAGACTAAAAACCTTAAGGTAATTCAGCTTCAGCTTTTTTTGAAGTAGTAAATTACCCTTTGCATGTACAAAGAAGCTATAAAACCCCCCAAAAACAAATGGAACTAGACACTGAAGTAATAAAATATAACAACAACTAAGCGGTTTAAGGAATTCATTCACTGAAAAAAAAAACAACAAAAAAAAACATTAATAGATTATCTGTTATTTATTTCACCAACTAATATCTTTGGGAAAAGCAAGCTATGCCATGCTTACAAGGTTGAAATCAATAAATAGCTTTGTATTAGAACGATAATCATTACTCACAGCCCACAAACAACAAAACTACTCAATTAGATTCTAACCTTCTGATGTGACATTGTCAAAGAACAGAGTTTCCATACAGCTGTGTCACAAAATAAGACACAGCAACAGCACAAAGAATAGTCTGGACATTTCCCTCCCAGGAGGGAGACAAGATACAAAATACACAGACATGCAGAGTCGCTCATATACTGAGGAGAGAAAGGAGCCGTCACACTGGGAAAGGTCAACCATCAGATATACACAACATGAGGACACAAGGGACACAACATCTGACAGAGAGAGATGGAGGGTGACACAGGAGGAGGAGAGAAATAAGGGAGAGAGAGAGAGCGAGAGAGAGAGAGAGAGCGAGAGAGCGAGAGAGAGCGAGAGAGCGAGAGAGAGCGCGCGAGAGAGCGAGGGGATGGACTCAGAGATGAGAGAGAAATAGAGATCAAGGGTGTGGAAGTGCAAAAGACAGTGACGGTGAGAAAGACAGACTATAAGAGATACAGGAAACAACGAGAGCTGTTGGACCATCCTGACTTGCTATAAATATAACAAGGCAGAAAAGGTCAATAGTTGGCGTCTGGAGCAGAAATGTTCCACAAGGGAGTGAGGCTCATTTCACCATCTCATATGCTGCTCTGCTGTACTGTCAGTGTCAGACAGAAAGGAACGACTGACTCTCAACACACATTGATGGAGGAAATGTCAGCCTGTGTGCATCTAATACACGCATGCACACACGCGCACACACGCACACACTAACCTGCACAGTGGAGGAGATGTTGGAGAGAGAAAGGCCTTCGAGGTCGGACAGCAGACTTTGAGAGAGCACAGAAGGCTTTGGTGCGTTGGTGGGTGCAGGAGAAACTAAAGAACGCAAAGAAAACAACAACAACGTAAAGATTATTAAAGCTACTACAGCGATGTCGCACACAAAGTTACTTTTTAAAATATAATTACAATATTAATAATAATGATAATACTTTATGACAAAAGAAAGCAACTGAAGGCTGTTTAACTTTTACTCCAGTGTTATTATTAAGTCACGTCACAACATGTCAGAGCAAACTGACGTATAAAAATATTTCAGCATTGAACGTGAGCAGTCATACTGATATAAATGTCAACAGGGTCATGGGATCTTGTGTCAAAAAGTAATTTAGGAAAACCTAATTCAAACCCCAAAACATGAAGATTATCTGGATGCAGAGTTAGACACACAATCTGCAGGTTACAAGCCGGTTTTAAACTAAAGGCATTCATTTTTGCATTTGAAAGGCCATTGTTGGAGTTCGACGGGATTTAACATAAACTGCTCCTCACACTGTGATTCTCCTGTTCCACACAAGCTGAACGGCACTTTTTAATATCACATAAAAACTGTGGTGTTTTACTTTGCATTGATTTTGGAAGCTGGAACTGTAAACACTCTGAATTCTTTTTGCCACTGAAGAAATGAACAAGAAGTTTAGAGCTCTTTTCCATCATCATCCTACAAATCCCTGTAAGCATTCGTCTTTTATGCCTCCCTTGAGTTCCACAGATACTGAGTTATGTCAAAGACAGAAGTTAATGACATTTTTGCTTTCTATATTTGATAGCTTGCATCAGTCACAGATAAACGTGCAGCAAATGTGTGCACGGACATGTGAGATGAGTTTCAGCAAAGGTTTTCTACAGGATGATTACCTACAAATTGTAAGCCGATACATGAACTGACATCTATATGGTTAAATACAGTCCCACACCATACAGGGAGTGCAGAATTATTAGGCAAATGAGTATTTTGTCCACATCATCCTCTTCATGCATGTTGTCTTACTCCAAGCTGTATAGGCTCGAAAGCCTACTACCAATTAAGCATATTAGGTGATGTGCATCTCTGTAATGAGAAGGGGTGTGGTCTAATGACATCAACACCCTATATCAGGTGTGCATAATTATTAGGCAACGTCCTTTCCTTTGGCAAAATGGGTCAAAAGAAGGACTTGACAGGCTCAGAAAAGTCAAAAATAGTGAGATATCTTGCAGAGGGATGCAGCAGTCTCAAAATTGCAAAGCTTCTGAAGCGTGATCATCGAACAATCAAGCGTTTCATTCAAAATAGTCAACAGGGTCGCAAGAAGCGTGTGGAAAAACCAAGGCGCAAAATAACTGCCCATGAACTGAGAAAAGTCAAGCGTGCAGCTGCCAAGATGCCACTTGCCACCAGTTTGGCCATATTTCAGAGCTGCAACATCACTGGAGTGCCCAAAAGCACAAGGTGTGCAATACTCAGAGACATGGCCAAGGTAAGAAAGGCTGAAAGACGACCACCACTGAACAAGACACACAAGCTGAAACGTCAAGACTGGGCCAAGAAATATCTCAAGACTGGTTTTTCTAAGGTTTTATGGACTGATGAAATGAGAGTGAGTCTTGATGGGCCAGATGGATGGGCCCGTGGCTGGATTGGTAAAGGGCAGAGAGCTCCAGTCCGACTCAGACGCCAGCAAGGTGGAGGTGGAGTACTGGTTTGGGCTGGTATCATCAAAGATGAGCTTGTGGGGCCTTTTCGGGTTGAGGATGGAGTCAAGCTCAACTCCCAGTCCTACTGCCAGTTTCTGGAAGACACCTTCTTCAAGCAGTGGTACAGGAAGAAGTCTGCATCCTTCAAGAAAAACATGATTTTCATGCAGGACAATGCTCCATCACACGCGTCCAAGTACTCCACAGCGTGGCTGGCAAGAAAGGGTATAAAAGAAGAAAAACTAATGACATGGCCTCCTTGTTCACCTGATCTGAACCCCATTGAGAACCTGTGGTCCATCATCAAATGTGAGATTTACAAGGAGGGAAAACAGTACACCTCTCTGAACAGTGTCTGGGAGGCTGTGGTTGCTGCTGCACGCAATGTTGATGGTGAACAGATCAAAACACTGACAGAATCCATGGATGGCAGGCTTTTGAGTGTCCTTGCAAAGAAAGGTGGCTATATTGGTCGCTGATTTGTTTTTGTTTTGTTTTTGAATGTCAGAAATGTATATTTGTGAATGTGGAGATGTTATATTGGTTTCACTGGTAAAAATAAATAATTGAAATGGGTATATATTTGTTTTTTGTTAAGTTGCCTAATAATTATGCACAGTAATAGTCACCTGCACACACAGATATCCCCCTAAAATAGCTAAAACTAAAAACAAACTAAAAACTACTTCCAAAAACATTCAGCTTTGATATTAATGAGTTTTTTGTGTTCATTGAGAACATGGTTGTTGTTCAATAATAAAATTATTCCTCAAAAATACAACTTGCCTAATAATTCTGCACTCCCTGTAGAGAGTACAAAAGCTAACAAAGCATTGAGGTTTCAAAATGTGTTCCATCTTTTAGAGCCAGAGATGATCTCATTTGGAGAAGCGATTTATCAAATAACTCCAGGAAAATTGGTTAGCAAGCTGTCTCCATAAACTGTGCAGATGCATCAGACATATACACATATCAGCTAATTAGTGCAAAGTAATAGACCAATAAAACACTCGAATTTCATTCAACAGACCTGAAGCTAAAACTTCTTGGGCAGTCTTTACCTCACAGCAATATTAGCAAGACAATCCATTAAGATGCTTCAAAGGCGCAAAATAGAGGGCTGCAGGTCAGTGACTCAGTAGGTGAGATGATAGCGACCAGCTGCAGCTGCCTGTGTCAGGACATCTGGACATAATCCTCCAGATGGACGAGTTATACATAAATTCACCTCACTCAGAGCTGTTATGAGGTGGGAAACTAGCTATACAGTTAAAAAGGCTTTTCCATGCTGCAAAGTTGGGAGTGTCTGAACTAAACTGCAGTTTTTGGCACTCTGGCTTCATTTTTTCAGCTGAGGTTTCCGCCTCTTGGTCCACACGTTGTAAATATTTAAACTCTACTACAAATTCTAACGTGATGTTGTGAATGCCTACACTACAGTTCTCCAATGAACTGCACTTTATTTTTAGCCAAGCGATTAATGCAAGTCCAATATTTTCTCTACCTCTAACTGGTACAATTCAGTTCTCCTCACCAGGACTTGATCATCTATGTGTGCTTGCTACTTTGGGCGGTGGGGAAATAGAATACACATCAGAGGTTTTTTTGTGAAGCCTGCTGCTCTTGTTAATGTGAGTTTATGCAAGCGGAAACTGTAGGAAAACTCACAGTCATCTAGATCCAGTAAAGAGACTTCCTTCTTGGAGTTCACTGCCACCTAAAAAGAAAGCACAACAACATGATGGTTTCAATTTCAATTTCACCAACAGTGTCTCTGAACACATTCATCCCACGTTCACGGGTAACATGTCTGGAATTTTCAGTGACCGGTCACATGTCATTTTGAGTCACAACTGAAACTCACCACCCTCTGCAACTGAGTCAGGCTTGTACGGTGTTGACAATAAAACAGTGCTTAAACGTAAGAGGGCTTTTATCGCTCCTTCTCCATACCCTGCTAACCAACCTGGTACCACTCACATCGCATAAAGAGCCATAAAATTCCACTCTGCATAGCCCAAGCTGAGCAGATAGGGAGGGGGGGAAAAAAACAATGTGATATGAGTGAAAACAAACCATAAAGTTAGAGGCCATATCTTATCAGATTTTCTCTGATTGACGCTCGGTGGTGGTAATAGAGACGGAAACCTTGTTACTAAAGGGTGTTGTGATAGAGCAAGACAGAGAGAGAGAGGTGTAGAAAGAAAGGTAGAGATGCATAATTCATAAGCCATGCACAAATGACAAAGTGTATGAAATGAGAATTTCATAGTGCAGAAAAGCAAACGGAGGGCGAGAAATAATGTGATGAGCAAAACAGATAAGAAAAAGATTGTAAGGGCTGAAAGGGGCCAAATGAAATGCTGGAAGGGAAAAAACAAAAGGTGCTATAGTGGAGCCAAATCATATCCCAAGGTATAAATCCTGATTTAGAAGCTCTTGTGCACCTACAGAACAAAAACTCGCTGCGAGAACTGCACATTAATATTTAGAAGGCTACGCAGAGCAGGGCCATTATCCTAATATCATACTCTATACTGATTTAGACATTATGCATTGTAAATATAGTACAATATCATACATTATAATGTGACAAAGGTGTGTTTTCCTCCTGTATTGTTTTATACCATTATCTTCTCTTTAGCACTGCATAATGGATCTTTCTCCCCTTAAATTTCATTTATAATGTGTATTTTTAATAGTCTAAGAAGTTCTACAAAGACACTGATTCAAGGCCATTATTGCAAACGTGTGCAACTACAGCGACCAATAAGTTGAAGTTCAATTCAATTGCATTCAATTTAGAGATATTGCAATGACACAGAGCGATCCCCAGTAATCCTATAATCACGTAATAAAAAGCCAAGGCAAAACAGTGGTGCGTGCCAGTGGATGCGACATGATTTTTGGCATGCGCTACTGTCCAACAGAAGATAAGCGGTGTGGGCAGAATCAGCCTCAACCTTGTATAACAAAGCAGTAGTTGAGGGTCATTTGATCCAGGCTGAAACGACAGATCAACGAACTGCAAACAACCCACGACCCCACCATCTTTGGAAAAAGCAAATGCATTTTATTTTTGGTGGAACTGCACTGATGCTGTTGGCAGCCTCTGTTCTCAAAGTTAGAAACTCTCACTCGCAGTTAAATCCAAATACGCCCACTTAATCCATGCATTATATTGTCACCTTGGGCTTGGCCTTTTCTTCAGTCTTCTTCTTGGGTGCGGGCGAGTCTGACTCAGAGTCCGACTCAGAGTCCGACTCAGAGTCTGAGGAGCTTTCAGAGGATGAGCTGCTAGCTTGGCCTACAGGTCCATTGCCATTTTCAGAGTCACTGAAGAAGAAAACAAAATGAGCTTAGTAGTCAGAGAACACACATTAAAAAAAACAACACTCTCCATTATTTCTTAAAAGTAAAATATTAATTTATTCCATAATATAAAACAGTCTGGAAACCAACAAATAAAACAAACTTGGTGCTATTGTTTTCCTATTTTGCATCCAACTTGAAAGCTTCAGCCCCGATTAGAACAACAAAGATCAATCTGTTTTTGTTTGTGAAGTTAATTCAATGTTGCATTTACTCAAAAAGATTTTTTCCATCTTTCTCCTCTCTCTTTCAGTCTTGCTGTCCCTCTTCAATTTGTCCCGATAATGAGTGTTTACTCCGCCTGCCTGGGATTTTCAGCCGTTAAATTAATGAGGGGAATTGTGACGGTAACTGGCTTTTTAACTTGGGCGATGATGAAAAGCCAGTATTAATTTGGCCTACAGATTTCATTTGCTGCGAACAGGAAAAAGTGATATAAATCACTGTGGGCCTGATTAGGCCCTGCCTGAAATGACTGGGCCATAATGAGGGCATTATGCTGTGTTTGTTGTGGAAGCACTGGGGTGAGCTGCTCTAATTACCGTGTGTATGTGTGTGTGCGCGTGTTTGTGTGTGTTTGAGCACTGGGGTGAGTTGCTCTAATTATACTCTCTAATGGAGAGAACAGGGTCAGCCGCCGGCCTGTCACACAATGAAATCAGGTACATTCGGTGTGAGTTTGTGTGTCCATGAGCAAATGAAGTAGAGTGCATAAGAAACTAAATTTGCTAGTGTGTAAGAGAGTGTACGTGAGCATACTCAGTAGTAATGACTCAAATCTCATTCACTGGTAACACCGGGCTGTTAAATGACCAATCAAAAGTCATTATCCATTAGCCATGTAAATGTGGGTTACGCTACTGGAGGAAAATTCTCATTGATTAGCTTGTTAATGGAACTCGCGCTAACAATATTCCAGCAGTGCTGCCATCATGTGTGTGTGTGTGTGAGTGTGTGAGAGAGAGAGAGATGGTGCATATAGAGTGTAACAGGTGTGTATGATGTTTTTTTTCCCTCCATGTGAATCTACTTTAACTAGAAACATAAACGATCAGGCAAAGGATTCTGACCACTGACAGGTGACGTGAGTAACACTGATCATCTCTTCATCATAGCACCTGCTAATGGGTGGGACACATTAGGGAGTAGGTGGACATTTTGTTATCAAAGTTGATGTGTTAGAAGCAGAAAATAATTGGCAAGCATAAAGATTTCAGAGTTTGACAAGAGCCAAATTGTGATGGCTGGACGACTGGATCAGAGCTTCTCCAAAACTGCAGCTCTCGTCAGGTGTTCCTGGTCTGCAGTGGTCAGTATCTATGAAAACTGATCCAAGGAACAGTGCTAAAAAACACAAAAACACAAACTACAGTCATGGGTGGCCAAGGTCGCTGGCCCGTGTTGTCCGATCCAACAGACGAAGAGCTACTGCAGCTCAAACTGCAGAAAAAGTTCATGCTGGTTTTGACAGAAAGATGTCAAAATACACCGTGCAGTACAGTTGGTTGTGTATGGGGCTGCGTAGCTACAGACCATTATAATGTTCGGTTTTTTCCTTCTAAGAGATCCACTGGATTTAGTTTCCATGCCCCTCGCATATCTTAGAAGTAGATGAGACAAAGACTCTGGCACAAAGACCATGGCTTCGAGCTGGACGACTGCTAGGCTTTACTCCGGCATCCATAAACATGCCAGTTTGAATACAGCTATACCTTTTTTTAAGTTGAGATTTTACAACATTTTCTGATTGTCACATTTTGTTTCGAATGTCCTTTTTTTAAATATGATTGAGCAAATTTTGCATCCTCTATCCACACTATAGGTGCTAATGTAAATCCTGACCTATCAAGTCTGAGGGGTTTAGTGGAGGAAAGCTACAACTGAGCATTAAGAACTGTAACTGTGAGTGGGCTGTGATGAATAATATAAACTGCTGAATCTTTCAACAGATGGAGTTTGCTCGGATGCAGCAGAATCGTGGGCACATTTGTTGCTGACTACGTGTTTCTGGCAAACACACACCTGCTTCATTAGCAAAGCCAGAAAGAGAAGAAGAGAAAGACGCAGGTAACATCTGGACACGCCGCCTTTGCAGGGAAGAAAAATTATGCTTTCAGACTGTGACAGACAGCAGGGATTTCAGTGTACCTGTCACCAGCAGGCTTGCTTTTCTTCTGCGGTGCTTTCTTGGTCTTTTTCTTCTTCTTTTGATCTGATTCAGACTCACTGGAGCTCTTTTCAGATCCACTGGAGCTTTTTCCAGAATCACTGGAGGTCTTCTCTGAATCCTCACTGCTTTCCTCCTCGCTCTCACTGCCCGATTCTGTACAGACACATGGACACTGTACATATTAAACCCAAAACAAATCAGACTTTATTCTTTGCTGAAATTTCCTTTCATATTACTTATGATCTGAATTTCTTCAGCAACAGCCACTAAATGTACTGACATTCAATTAGCACCTTATAGTATGCATTTATAGCTTTTTTTGGGGGGGGGGCACCATTTCCACCTGTATATCAAATACAAACGATTTTTGTCATTTTATTTATCAATTACCAGCCTCACTGTTTGCTGCTGACTCTGATCTGTGCTGCAGTTACTACTTATTTCTGAAGGCCCCTCTTTAAGTTTTAGTTGGTTGTTTTGCAACTGCACGGGATGAATGAGGGATGGATCTAAGACTTCACTGGCTAACAGCTTGTCAATCATCATGACTCTGAAATGACTGCTGCTCAACGCTAATATATTCCAAACCAAAAGCACAACAACATCAAATGTTGTTCAGCTCAAATTTGTAAATTCTCAAAATGATCAGTTAGCCAGACCTGGATAAACATCAGAAAAATAGACGGAAGGATAAAATTAGAGACACATTTCTAAAATCAAACACTTTTGAAAACACATCAAAATGAAAAACACATTAACAAATCTGTATAGTTTAATGTTATTATGCTTCGTAAAATGTTGTGTGTTCTGTTTTGCTTGTGTCTACAACACTGCTGATCCTGCATCTCAGATTTGTTTTGATAAATGGTAAAAAAAATAAAATAAAATAAAAATGGATGCATGGATCCAGAACCATACACACAGGAAGTTTTAACGCAGTGAAAATTTTGCTGTGCTTTACACCTCCAGCTTCTAAACAAGATACCAAACTTTGATATGCTTTGCCCCGTGCAGGATAGTCGGATCATGGCCTCAAATAATCAGTGTGTCACTAAATCAACCAGTCATGCTAATGTTGGTTATGCTAATAACCAACAACATTAACTTAGCCTCATAAAAGGGGAAACTTTAAATCGGACAGATAGAAACAAACCTTCGCTGCTGCTGCTGCTGTCTTCACTTCCACTGCCGCTGCTGTCGGATCCTTCCTCCTCTTTCTCATCTTCATCATCTGAGTAGAACTTGTCAGATTTAGGCTGTTTGGTCTTCCCAACTATTGGTGCCGACTCTCTCAGCTAAATGGACACAGCAGAGGGAAGATGGACCGGTTAAACTACAGAATCCAAGCCTTGCAATTTAAGGATGAGTTAGAATCTATAAAAATCTGATTCCTAACACGTAACAGAGGCATGTTCACATTTTGCACGTTGTGTAGCTGCTGGTCACTCCACACAGGCTTCCTAAATGTACTCAATTAAGCAAAACCAGCAGTGGCTTTTTCAATTAAAGGAGTTTTTAGCAGTATGTCATCACCACCAAATCCCCAAATGTTTCTGCTAAAGCTCAGACTTAAGTTTGTTGACACCACCGCTTTATTGCTGCTTATTGTTGCATCAGGAGACACACAAAGTAACAGTGATAAACCTGAGAGAAAATGCTAAAGCAATAATGTCCCTCACAAAATAAAAAACTAAACTAAACACAAGAATAATTCTATAAAGGTTGTAAATGATCATGCTTAAAATCTAAATAAATCTTTTCTACGTTTTCTTTTCTATATTTTCTGTGTTGCTCAGTCATTGGTTGACTGAGAAAATGTGAGAAAAATGAGAAAAATGCACCACTTCATAAATCCTCACAGAATAATCTAAGGTGCTGCACAAAGACCAAGTATGCAGCAAATGAGAACTACTTTGAAGTGTAATTTGAAAACAAGAATAAAGATTTGCAGCTGGAAATTAGGAAAACTTGTCACCTTTAAAAACAGTCAGTTTGGAGTTCCCCTCCAGTCAGCCAAGTAATAGTTGGAAGTAAAACCAATGATCTTCTCATTTTTTCCTGACAAATGCTTCATAATGTTAACAGAGAGCCTATGACTTCTAGAATCAGGACTGAGATGTGGTGCATTCTCTTTCCTCCCCTAAGGGCATGAGTTTCCTCACATTTGAGCTAGTTTTGAATGTCTGATTTGGCTCACGTTTTTCTTTACACATCTTGAATACTGCAAATATGATGAGGAGTGTGTAAAAGGCAAAAAAGCAACACATCTGAACTTGTCATGTAACATATACACACACTCAGTGTGTTGTGTTTTTGCAGAAAATTTGTATTCAAAAAACCCACTGTGAAAAACAACAACAAAAAGTGACCGCATTAAATATAAGTGAGTCCAAAAAAACATTTTTAATGCGTAAAATAGTCTCCTGAATTTTACACATCTGGTGTGTAAAGACGTTTAGGAAGGTGGATTTCTTACTGGTTCAACAATCTCCACGTTTCTCACAGACTGGTCGGGAGCAACAGCAGGCCAGTCTGGGAGCTCCTGGTACCCAGTGGCTTTAAGGTTAAGACTGTGGGAGAGAGTGCCCAGCTGGTAACGGTCTCGATCTGAAAGTATCAAGAAGAAAAATTATGGGGAAAAAATAAAAAAGTTTTTTAAAAAAAGTTTAATAAGTGGTGGAGAAATGGGATGGGGCAGCAAGGACCTCACTGTGTTCTAAATGAAGGAAACAGCTTATAGTGGCATCTTCTCCACCAAGCACCGTCACCTCTGTCTATGATAACACGTGATCACACTCCCTGCTCTGCCTTCCCAAATGGCGGCACAAGAAGACAATCAGTGCGTGTGCTCTGGGAGGTGTGATTTGCCAACCACAAAAAAGGACTACTTCTGAATATTAAGAATGACAGAGGCCGTTAACACATTCATAAACATCCAGTAAGTGCAAACTGAGCTGGAATTTTAATGTTGTAGAAGGCAGCTTTTCTCTGGTGTCAAGCGGGGGAGAGAAAGAAAAGACAGCTAAATGAGAAAGCCGGAAAAAAGGTTAGCATGAGCTCAATAATTTACCCATCTCATTAGTGTGAGGTAAAGGTTTCTGACCTAACTGCCCTTCAGAGAGACACACACACAGCAGAATAATAAAACCTCAGCCTGAATCAACTTTGCATACTGCAGGAAATAGAGCCACTAGGTTTGAAATAGATGAGCAGCTAATATGTATTCAGTGATGCGGGAGAGGAATGAAATTTAATCTGAAAATGGAAAAGGTATTTAAAAGTACCTTTGAAGGCAGACTCGAGCCCTGGAGCCGGTTTGGGGGCCAGTAAGATGCGTCGAGCGTACTTGCTGAGCGCACCGCTCTTCTCGTTGGGCACTATCAGCTGCCGTATGAATCGTGTTCGGTCTCTGATGTCGTAGTTCTGGTCGTATTTGCCGAGGTTCAGGATGTACTGGGTCAGCAGCTTGGTCTGGGGACAAAAGTGTGGGTGTTTCAATGCTTTATGTACTTAACCAGCAGGTCCCCCGCGAGATTAGAAACTTGAAAGGAGACCAACCCAAGACAGACCATTAGGTTGTGAATATTTGAAAAAGTCAAGCGCAACAAAAAATGTCAAGGAAACAATTCAAGTATTTAAGAGGAAGATGAAACCAGTTAAAAATAAATAAATAAAATAATTAAAAATATATCATTAGAGGTGCTGTTTTGGACAGAGCTGTGGAAGCATAAAGCAGACACGTTTGCATAACATCCAACTAACACTTTAGAAATCAATGAACTCTTTCAGTGATGCCTGCAAACCTGGTGTACAACTAGCTGAACTGAGCCAGGAGCAAATGTGAGTGTTGCTCATCAACAGGCATCTCCTTCTCCACAAGGCTAGGATTCCTTACTTCAAAACCCCCGTCTCACCCAAGCACAGGGAGACAGAGCACTTGCACCAACATAAATGATTTAGGTAGACATAAAAACAAAATCTGCTCCTGTCGTGACAGCAGCATTATCGCCCCAATCTTTTACTGAATTGTCATTACAAGGAGCAAGAGGTGTGATAATGTGCTTTGAGAAGGCAGCGTCTGGGCTCATAAAATCAGCTCACACACCAATTTTACCTCATCTGACTCAATGGGTCTGCAGACACCAAGTGGCTCTAGAAGATGCATTACATTAAAACTGCTTCACAGCTCTGTATTTGAAATGGGTATTTAGCAATGAGTTGCAACTATTCGCACATAAAGCTCTGTAAACGGTCACACACACACTCACACTCACACTCACACACACACACACACACACACACACACACACACACACACACACACCCCCTTGATTTTTCTCTGCATGTCTTATTTTGCACCTGCTTAGAGTTGGTCAGGTAGAGCTTTGCAGCTAGATTGACAGTCTGCAGCTTGACGATGTCCTCCTCTGCTGTGAACGTCTTTGCCATCTTGCGCAGTACATCGGGCGCAATCTTTGGCACCTTCTCGCAGTACTCTCCCATCAGCCACAGGATGCTGGCTCGGGCCATGGGAACCTGCAGTTGAGGGTGACATATCAGAGACAAAGAGCAGCACCTGTCACAGTGTTATTTCAGACACAATGCTCCAGTGATAACTTTCACGAGCAGCACAATCATGAACCGTACAGTGACGTTATCGAAGAGCTTGGCCATGTGTTTGATGATGTCACCGTGCTGAGTGGGTTGAGTCTGAAGCAGCTTCTTGATGACCACGATGCTCTCGGCCACCACGGTCTCTGGAGAACCGAAACAAGTCTTCACAAAACTGGACAGAGCCGACATCTCTAATGACGAGCTCAAAGTGCAAATATGGATTCAGGTAACTATTCAGTGAGGGCTTTTTACCGTCTCTATTAGAAAGCAGCAACACCAGACCGTTGAGGCATGTGTCCGTCACCTCAGAGATGTTGGTGGCGCACCTGCCGATGGCCTGGATGGTAGCTGCTGCGAACGCCTTGTCCTGACTCTTCACGTAGGTCTTGGAAAAAAAAAAAAAAAAAGAAAGATCAGATGTACTCAGTGTAATACCCCACTGAAAGTAGGTAACACATCTAATCACACAAAGAAAACAACAAACCTGGAATTCTCTCAGAATTGTGGAGATGTTAGCTTCATTAGCTAGATTGGTCAGGATCTCCAACTGGAAAAATCATAAACGGAAAGGTGACTGTTGTTAGGTTCACGAAAAGGTCAAAGAGGCTCAAAAGCCAATATGGCAGTATTTAAATGTGTCAAGCTTGTACATAATATTATACTATTACACATAATACTAAGCTCAGTATTCTTATTTGAGCTTACATGTACATAATGCAGAAAATAAAACAGGGGCTACCTTTAGTGTTTTGATATGCGTGGCATCTGTCGATCTCACATAGAAACTCTTAATGAAGGGCTCGAACATCCCCTGTTTGAAGAGAACTCGTGTTACTACACAGGCTGCATCAACCCAACACACTCTCATCCCTCTGCTATCCATGAGCACTCACCTTTCTCTGTATAGACATCGTGGCGATGTTCTGAAGCACAATGTACTGCACTTCTCTGCACACAACAGCAAGAAGACAGCACATTCAGACATGGACATAGTCACTAGCAGCAAATACGCAAATGCTGTATAAATATACACACATATATATGTTGTATTATTATTATTATTATTATTATTATTATTATTATTATTTACCTGTGGCTTCTCAGGAGTCGAACCAGTGACTTGGTGACAATACTGACTTCATGTTTAGGAGCCAGATGCCAGTAAAGCTGAGCAACAGCCATTACTACCTAAAAATATCAACCCAATAAGATAATAAGTAGATTATCTCACAGCATCTTATTAAAACAAACTTGTTACTTTCTGTCTGCTCACACTAAAATCGTCTTCCTTCATATGCATTTGCTCAGGCTCTACACCGGCACTCTCAAAGAGACTCTAAAAGTCATTTTTCAGAAGCGCTTTAAATAGCAGGAGGACGTGTGTTCGTCGTTGCAGGCACAATGAGAGGCTTCGGGCGTCTATGAAGATTGAGGATGTCACCGTGTTGTCGTGAGTAAAGACACAGCATGTCACATTTTAATCAACACTTTCATTTGGGAGCATTTTTCCTTCCCGCTGCTACATAGCGACAGAGACCTTGAGGCTCCCGGATGATGGAGACCCGCACTCACTCTGGTTTTTATCGCTTTTATTCAGGCTTGTGTGGCGCATTAAGACAGGTATTCTCGTGTCTTTGTGTGTGTGGCGTGTCCTTTGTATGTAGTACTTTGAGTGAATGTGTTATTGCACATAAATGTGTCCTTCCAGGGTTACAACAGCATTAGCTGATGTGTTCAGTAGGCAACAGACACAAAGAGACGCTGTGTTTCCTACTATGTCCATCAACTTTGGATGTGTGTTCATTCGACTAAAAACAGTCGTATTAGTCTATGCATGTTTGCATACCATTAAAAAAAGTGCCATAATAATGTGTGAATGGAGCCTGTAACTTGTTTATGAGGGGACTGCTTCTACAGATGGTGTTACAGTTTGTTAGCCTGACGTCTGAATCAAACAGGTCTAGAGGTCTGTCTGTGAGAGACCAGGCAACCTCTGGTCTCTCACTTCCCAACTGATCAGGGATGATTGTTGCTGAATGTTGCCCACTGTCTCCAGATGAAAAACACTGCATGATCATTTTGGCTGCTAGAAGGCTGCTGCAGTTACCTATAATTCCTACACACTGCAAACATTCGCTATATTCTCTCCAAGCTATACTGAAACTTGAAACGAAGAATGTTCTCCTTCAAAGTAAAAGTAAAGTAAGTAAATTAAAATATGTGCTGTGGCAATATTTTAACAACTACAGCAATCACAAAGAGGGTTTTTGGTGCAGTACTGTATACCTCTTTGCCACCAATTTCATGCTTCCAGCAACCTTCAGCATCCACCCATCAAATGGTTGCAGAATATACCCTTTTCCCCAATGACCAGCTGTTACCGACTGTTCTCCAGGCCTGCATGAATAAAACTTTTGCAACTCATTTCATAGAGACTTGGCATATAACTATAGACCAGTGACACTGTTTTAACAAAAACTAAAACAGTAAATTTACCTCCTATCTTTCTGCAGATACCGCCCGACTGCACCAGTCTGTATCTCTGCATCTCACACTGATGCTAATCAATCAGCGATACAGATTCTTATTGATGGAGCATGAGTTACCATGGCAATGTGAACCACATTAGTAACCATGAAAACAAAGGTTAAACCTGAACTTGTGTCTACATGTCAGCGTTTGAGTGACTCACAGCGGTGTTCCTGCTCTGCAGTAGAGGTTTGGTGTTCCTGAGCAGCAGCCTGTGATCTGGATCCATGACGTAAGGCTTTGCTTCTGTCTGGTCTTTTTTTTCCTCAGAGTCAGAGTCATAGAAGGCTTTATTCTCATCAAACTCAGCACCCTGAAACACAAGCATAGTACATCAAACTAATGCACAAAACTATTTTAATAAAAATAACCCTCTAACAAAATTACAATTAATGATTTTTATTGGATTCTTGTGAACTAAAAATGCCCAGCCCTCAAGCTGAAGGAACACTGCCTTTTAAGTCTTGTTGGAGTGCTTGGTTGGTGAGATGCATCTATAAACTGTACATGTCCTCAGATATGTCCAATTAATTCATAAGTAAGACTGTCATAAAAAATGAAGCACAAACATGTGGACTGTACTATTTGTCAGATAACTCCATTAAACTGTGTTTTAATGCTCTAAGTTTATGCTTTTTAACCTGGATGTTTATAGAGACTGACTCTCTTTCGGAGCTGGTGTTAAGTGGCTATTCCAGGAACTGCCATTTTTGGCACGGACCACTTTGACAGATGTGCTGACACAGGCAGCTGTGGCCAACTGTCTGCTAGGCCTCACTTCCTCTAATTTAAGTCACTGAACTGGTGATCTCGAGTGCATTTAAGCTCATGGTTCACTTTGGAGAATGCTTAAAAAGGCAATAGCTATCAAGTAATGTGGTTTGGTGTGAAGTACAAGGAGAGTTATTAGTCTGTTTGATAGCACTAAATAGCCTGTGCCCGTGTGATGCACCCATGCAGTTTATAGATGCAGTGTGCTAACCAAGCTTCTTAGCATAATCCAACCCTGTTGTCTTAATATGGTAACTTCTGTCTCCAAAAACATAACAGCAGTCAACTGTTTCACAAATGTGCAGTCCAAAAAAAATCAACAGGTGGCGTCACACTGGCTTTGCACATCTTTTACATACAGTCTATGTAACTGGTACTTTACAAATGTGAACCACTATTGCTTTTTGGCCCATGAAACCCTTACCTCCGTCCAGGGACTGGTGAACTGTGTCCTGGCATAGCGGGTCAGCATAGAGATGATGACCACCTGGCCCCACTCCTCCACATCCACCAGCAGATTACACAGTTTTCTGTAGTTCTTGTGGATCAGATCGATGCGATCTGGGCACACCTCCTCAAAGGCCATGACCACACTCCCAGCCACCAGCTATAGAAAGGATCAAAATTAAAACAAAGAACAGAGAGAAGCAAACTCATGAGGAAAATGTCCCCCCCCATTTATTTCACTCCACTGTTAACATGTGAGTTAATGAGGGTTGTATAGATTTGTTAAGCAAATTGGCTAAGCTGCAATATACACAAACTCTAGAGAAATAAAACACTGGTTAACAGACGTGACCCTGGTTGCAAAGTATTATAATTGCACTTTCAAAAAAGCAATGGCAATTTACAGCTTTGATTAAAATACACAGTTCATCCTGTAAGCAGTTAGTTGATAATTGAAAGTAAATTGTTTGCACTTAAAAACATAAGTTTTCTACTGCTTTGTGTTTGAGAGAAGCCCATCAGTCAGAGTGTTTTTCTCAAGCAAAAGTGTTCAGTTCATGTGGAAAGCAAGCCAAGGAGGAAGCAGCAGCTGAGAGATCCAATAATCAACTATGCTTTATTGGTAAAGGGAAAAAACCCATTTGACTGTTGCTCACCTCCCACTCCCACCCACACCATCACCCAACTGCCTGCTGCCTCGCTGACTGACTGCAAGGCTGAGTGAGTGACACGGCAGTGTATTAATATGCAAACAGCATTATCGCAGGCAGGTGAAGATGAAGAGAAAGGGAGCAGAATTCAGTCTTCCCAATTAAAGCCTTCTGGCCCCTGGTGGCCCTGTGGGAACCCAGAGCATTTACCCATCAGCACTGTCATGAGCCTGCATTGATTGTGTGAGTGTGAGAGATGTGCATGTGCATAGCTGCCGTCTGTAGATTCCCACAGAAATCACACACAAACAAGTATGTTTTACTATACTGCAGTGCTGTATATATAGTTATATTTCATGATATGCACAGGAATTTTATGTATATTCAAGGAATGACATGGCGCTCCGGACAGTGATTAATGTACTAAGGCCAATAGTAACACACACAGACACATGCATAATTCTAACTTTCATTTTTCCTGTCTTGATTATTCCAACTCATTTTTCATGTGCATTTCTCAGTCCTCTTTTGCATGTCTTCAAATAACCCAGAATGCAGCAGTTAGGCTGCCAACAAAAAACAACAGATACTCCTGTCACCCCTATTACGGGCGACCGTGGCTCAGGGGGTTGGGAATTGCATCTGTAACCGGAAGGTCGCCGGTTCGATCCCTGGGCTCTCTGTCCTGGTCGTTGTGTCCTTGGGCAAGACACTTTACCCTACTTGCCTACTGGTGATGGCCAGAGGGGCCGATGGCGCGATATGGCAGCCTCGCTTCTGTCAGTCTGCCCCAGGGCAGCTGTGGCTACAACTGTAGCTGCCTCCACCAGTGTGTGAATGTGAGAGTGAATGAATAGTGGCATTGTAAAGCGCTTTGGGTGCCTTGAAAAGCGCTATATAAATCCAATCCATTATTATTATTATTATTACTACTGCTTCACTTGCTTTTAGTGAAATTCAGAATTTTAAAATGTTATTACTTACATCAGTGTATCCAGAAAGTATTCGCAGCACTGTGTAGAATTTTAAGGTGAAAAATGAATTTAATCAATTTTGGAAAAAAGGCTGAAACATGATCAAATGTGGAATAAGTGACGCACTTCTAATACTTTGCGGATACACTGTACAAAGTTCTATAATGTCAGGCTCCTGTATATATAGCAAAACTGTTGACAAGTCTTTCCAGTAGTCAGCCTGTTCAATCATCAGGTCCACACTCTGTTTTAAATACAGAGGCAACCACACCTTTGAGGTTGTACCGCTTAAACTTTCTGCCGTCATCAGCCCACCGGGTTAACTGAATCTGGTCTTCAACAACTGCTGAAAACTAATTATTATACTTACTTTTAATTGTAGTTCACACAAAAATCAGTTTGAAAGTATAACCCTAAACCATGTTTCACTATATCCTATCATCATCATCATCATCATCATCATCATGAGTCTAAATGGAACTTTAAGAAAAAATAATTAGTTAAAGCCACAAAAATTAAATCATCACACCTCTATCCAATCATTTCAGAATTTAAAAAGAATTTAAAGCACTTGTACAACCACTGTAATATATAGAAAGACGTTCCAATGAAAACTATTCATAGAGTCTGACCGGTAGCATAAATCTTTCCAGCAACCTTCATTTAAGCATCAGTGTCAATAACATTTTACAGCAGACAAACTTAGTCAAAGCATTTAGTAAAACATGGATTTTTAAGTATGTCTGTGTGTATTTTTGTCTTCTTCTGACCCTCTCCTGTCTCTGAGGCTATTAAAAGCAACACTCCTTAGCACGTGCATCCTGCAGCAAGGCTTTGTGCATTCTCTACCAACTTCCCCCATTAGACACAGCTCCAAGGTAAACTACATGCACCATCAACAAAACTGACACCCCAATCTATGGAGTTCATACACCTCCTCCCCGTCCCCTACCTCGGCCATATTATCTACCCTGCATGACAAGCCGGTAATGGAAAAATCACACTAAGCAAATGGTTCTTCTAATAACAATAAATTTCCTATAAAATTATGAAGGGCTCAAACCGTTTCCTTGCATCTATTTTGCTATGAATTCTAATTAGGGTGCCAGGAAGGCAGAGTGCTGGGTCATCACGTCAGAGACAACGCGCGCCTTTTTGATTGATGGCCCGGTGTGGGGTCGGCCTATCCTCCCTCTGCTTACTCTCTTCTTTCTCCCTCCCTCCCTCCCTCCCTCTCTCCTTTTTCTCTTAAATTAATGGGCATCTCACCTAGCCCCTAATCATAGTACCCCCACTGCCACTCCCCCCAACTGCTCCTCCTTTCTCTTCTCATTTCAATTTTGCAGAAGGTGCATGGGGGAGAGGACGGGAGAGATCGATCATTTATCTTGTAATGGCTGGATAATAGATCCATCACGGTAAAACAGCTGCACAAACTCCTGTGTTGTCTCTGTCATCAGGCCTTCCCATTTTCTCTTTAAACCATCCTGCCTATAAGCAGCCCCCCCACCCACCACCACATGTGTCACAGCCATTTAACCAAAGAGGCACATCTGTAAAGGTAAATGTCAGCAGGCCTGGACAACGCCATAGCCTGAATGATAACCAAATGCTTCCATCTCCCACTAACACCATTGTAATACCAGTTCAACAGCTTTAAGCCACACAGCTAACTTAGTATGAAGAAAAACTGTGCAACAAATTGAAATCTGACTGAAAAGCTGCCAGAAAAACGTAAGGTTCCAATAGAGTTGTTGTTAAAAACTGAAATTTCGATAGCTTTATAAATACAAAATATGTTTTTCGTTATGTAAAACCAGATCCGTAACCCTGCTGTACATGCCGACTCGTCTACATTAAACATTAGCACACCTAAATGTCTAGGCATGAATGCATATGGTTACCCTTTATAGTCAAGTCTCATTAAATTATTTATAAGCACATCTAATAACAACTGGCATTGATCAAAGTGTGATACAGCGTTAAAAAACATCCACAAAAACCCCCATCAAAACTCGATCTGATTTACAGGCAAAGGAATTAAAATGAGTTTTCAACCAGGTCTTTAAAAACAGTCTTTGTTGGTGAATGGGGTTTACCGGGGGTTAGGAACAGCTATTCGAAAGGCTCAGTCTCCTCTATGTTTCACCCTGGACAACAAGACAAATAACCCAAGGACATCTCCTTAGCAAACTTCCCTGATCTCGTGGGAACGTGCGCAATTAAAAGAGGTAATAGTGACCTTTCCAGTCACCTTGTGACAAACACAGTTTGGGGAATTGGCCTCTTTTCTAAACTGCAATTTTTAACTTAACTATGACATTTTTTCATAGCAGGAGAAGGTGGATTTTTGACAAATTCATGTGATATTCAACCAATGTTCATATATCCAAGCCAGAACTAGTTATGACTAGTCATAAGCAATGACATTCCTGAAAATGCTGATATTTTTATTAAAATAAAAAAATGATACAAAATGCAAAAATTACATACAAAGGATGGCGATCTGGCCTGTGTTATTTTTACGAATTAGATATGTAATCTTTAGTCATTTACAACCGCTCCAAATGCCTTTTCTTTTTCTCCAATATTATAAGCAACATTATCGAGAGGCTAGCCTGGAAAATTAGCATTTCACGTCTGCAAACATCAACAGATGTGATTTTGATGAAGAAAATCAAACCAGCAAAAGCTGAGATATATCAACTCAGTCTCTAGTAGACAAGCAAAATAGTCCAGATTTCTAATGCTGAGAGCTAATGCTGTCTGTAATTTGAAATTTGGACATATACAGTTAATTTTTGGCAAAACTATATGAATGTTCCCTTTTATTTAAACTGCAGTCTTGTTTTCACTTTTAGATTTCAGCAGGGATGAAGATCATAGATCGGCACATTTGTTTGTTTGGACCACACGTATTTGGTGAGATATTCGCCTTTGTAAACTTAAGGCAGTCATAATGTGAGATATTTTCTTAATATGAGACAAGGATTAAAAAATACTTTGCCACCCCAAAGTAAGTACGACCGCTGAGTTCATAACAGAACCTACATAGCAAATATTCACAATCGCAATCAATCCAGCTGATACATAACAACTGATGTCATCATCAGGGTTTTTATTTCACACTTACAAGGATCCTAGAAAGTTTTTGAAGGCAGCACAAAACAGCCATCCAGCTAGTACACTAACACTTGAATGTAGTAGCAGGAGTAATCCTTTCCATTACATATAATATAACAAGAACCTCTGATGGCACCGATTCAGCTCTGGACATTATTGTGGGACTTGTAAATTCTACATGGCATCGTCGAATGCATCGCCTCACTTGAAAGCTATTCAGCATCCACTGCATTTAGGTTTTTCACCATTCATCACCGACTGATGTGCTTGTGCGTCTGTGTGATGATAGTGCCCTCTCTCTCTGTCCCCTGCCTCACAATGTGGGCTCCAACAGGGAGAAGTCATCTGTCTTCGTTAGCGTCTGGGGCTAAATATGCTATGCATCTGGTACTGGGCTTCCACTCCCCCCCATTCCCGTTTGGCCTAAGCCGCTTTGCTTTGTTTATATAATGGTAGGCATACTCCATGAATACATAATTATAACAAACTGTGCATGATTTGCACATGCAAACACAACGCACTGCATCCTCCAGCCAGTGTCTACATATTTGAAATTGGCATTTCAGCACCCTTAGTATTCACTGTGACCTCGTCAAATTAATGCGCTGCCTGCTGACTTCTAATGCACCTTCTGCATTGTGTCTGTGATTGGCCAAATTGCAGAATTCGAGAATCCAAGTCATTTACGGTCCATTTTGGGAGAAAATTTGAAAAAAAGAAGAAGCTGGCCTTTGAGAAAATTAAGCTGACACTAGCATCAGTGCGAAAATTCCTTCCAAATGGACACTTAACAAGGAGCATCTGAAGATGTGTGGGTTTAAGTGGGTGTTAACAAACCGTGGCATTGCCGAATGAGCTGTGGGATGGAGAGCTAAGAGAAGAATCACTTGACTGGGGCGCCCTCCAGTGGTCTTCGTTCTCAAACATGGGAGGTGTACTGTGAACCACTACGGTACTCTGTGTCTGCTTACCGTGCTTTTGTCTTTCAATAGTTTCTCGATCACTTCGATCAGCTGCTCCTTCTGATCTGGGTCCAGGCTGAGGACAAAAGACAAAGAGGTTGGAAACTAATTGTCAACTACAGAATGGCAATTATTCACATACAGACTAACAAATTAAATCATGTCCCTGCTGTGCGTTCAGAATACAAAGATGTCTGTGTGTGTTTAACCAAAGCCACTCCCTGCATCAATCCGTCACTGCTTCACTTTAGACTACTGTAAAACATCATCATTGACCATATTTTTAACCTGTAAAACACTCTAGGTTACACTAATGGTATGTTAGCAGACAGGAGAGTAGCTGCTTTTGATTAACAGAGACCAGTTAGATCAGCACGAAACATTTTCATAACCAATTAAATCCAGTAGCCCGAAACTACTACTAATCCAGAGCTTGATACAGCCCCTCAGTTTATCCTCTGTCTGAAACAAGCTGTTTTAGCTCCTCCCCTTTTAAGGCAACCCTACCTCCTAAAACCGCTTACCTGTGATTGGCAGCTCTTCACAAGTTGCTGTGCTCACACAAACAGGTTGCATGCCATGTTTAATATGAGTAGTAGTATGTAGCCCTATATTCAGTTTTCATTCATTTTATTTAAAAAAAATCAATTAAAATACAAATTCCAAACTGAACATAAGATCGTCTTTGTGAAACAGGCTTCCCCAAAGCCTACGAGTTGCATAAAATCAGGTAACAAACAGCATATATACATATACACAATTCCAAATGTACATTATCATACCGAAAAGAATCACTAAATATCCTAAGATTGCCGTAGGAATCATAAAATAAAAACATTTTTAAAAATCCAATACATCTAGACAGTGTCACATGAAAACGATAGGATAAGCCTCACGTAGAGCAAAGCTTTGACAGATCCATGCCATACAGGCTTCAAAATCAAGTAGCAACGATTATTTTAGAGGTGTTTTTTGTTTGAAGACAGGCATTTTAAAAATGTGTTGAAGCTTTTTCCAAATGTATGGACTTCTACAGCTCACAGTAAACTTATTACCCCAAACTTATCACTTTGTAAGGGCGGTTTCTGTCTTCTATGTGTACACTGGAATAAACTCACAAAGCCTTTTGCCAAGTCTCTACAATATAGAACAGAACATAAGGAAAAGCATAAGAGGTCTACGGTATATAGAGCATGAAGGAATTTCAAGAATCTGATAGAAGCAGTGCAGATAAATAGCAAAACTGTGCCAGGTTTTCTAAAGAACCATCACTGATCATCAAACATGCACCTACTACTAAGATAAGAGAGCGATAAAAGCGGGGCAAAGCCCCTTATGCCAACATTGCCCAACCTTCACTGCATTAACTGCTCAGTTCACTGTTGAGGCAGTAAGACGAGCCAGTAAAACTTACAAGTGCAGCGGCTTTATCCATTGATGTCTTTACCTGTACAGCTTTTGGATCGCATGTGCTGAAGTCTTCCTCACATATGGGGACAGGTCAGCTGCAGCCTCCTTGATGGCCAGCATCATAATGGGGACAATAATGGGGACACGGATACTGGACAAAACCCTCAGAGCACTAGCCCGGATGAACTGGTTTGGGTCCTGGCACAGAAACAAATTGTCAGCGAGACAGTGTGCCACAACAAAAACAGTGCCTCCCAGCACCAAGAGAAAAGCAGGGAGAAGTGAGACATTTATCATCCTCTGATCATCAACACATTCATCTATCCGCATCCAGAGAGACTGAATGTTACCTTAAGGGCCCGCTGGAATGTGCTAATCGACAGCAATGCCAAGTCCTGCTGCTTCTCTGCATACCTCACCAGGTACACGTACACAAGCTTCTTGAGCTGCAAAGAACAATGACATCAAAAACAGCAATAAAACGAAACGGCTATAAAAGAAAAACCACTGCAGCAGACATGAAACTAATCAAGCAAACCAGCTGTGTTGGAAAATTTAAGCAGGTTTGTGTGAGGACACACTGTTTTGTTTTTTTACAGACAAGAAGAGTACAAAATATAACACAATACAAAAATCGGCTTCCTTTACGTTGATTTTTCTAAGGGAAAAATTTGAGTTTATTATTTTAAAAGACTGGGGGTTGGCGGTTGGGGGCGGGTCGATGGAGGTGGAAAGCTTTCCTGTTTTAATTTCAAAACCTGCACTCTCAATAGAGAACGGTTTCAGACAGAGGAGCTGTATTATGTGTTTATATTTCCCTCCCGAGTCTTGTGCTTTGGCTCCCTCACCTATTCTTTGCTCACCGGAAAGCCTGAGATAATATTTGTTCTGGATTCTGACAAGTTTAACTAGAGGTCAAAGGTGCTTTGCCTGCTGATTCACATCAGCTATTCCGAGAGAGAATAGACGGAGCTAATTTTCTTCCTATGAGCCTGTTGGGTTGGAGACCATGAAACTGGGAGGAAAGGGTTATGAAAAATGATTTACCTAAGGAACTATTTTTAATTTATAACCTGATTGAAGCTGGAGGTCAGGTCTAAGGTTACATTTTAGGTACAAATCACCAAGCGCTTTAGCTAGTAATCAGCACCATGCTTTCTAATGCAACGAGTATTGACCTGTGGTTTCACAGCACAGTTCTCAATCATCATTGAGGCCATTACTGCTGGAAGTAATGGCATTACTCACTATAAAAAAAGGAGACAAAACCCATCTGCCCTCAAGGATCGGGTTTGTGTGACCACAGAGCATGCAACGGACTTCGTTTTGAACTGCTAAATAGGCAATTACGTGCAGTACAGATGAAACTTGCTCCATCTCGTGTTATTTTATTTTGTCCCTGAATTTCAGTGTAAAATTCAGTAAATAAAACAAAGAGCACCAACATTAAACCACGAAACGCTATCAATAAACTGCATGTTCTTGTGCAGTTACGCTCACGCTCTAATTGTTGGGGCTCATGGGCAGCTCGAGATGACACGAAGTAGAAGGGATGACGGCGGGAGCGAAATAAGAGGCCATTTTTAGCACGACATACTGTAGCTGAGCAGAAACTGAGAAGAGAGAGAAAGCACAGACCAAGACCTCACACTACCTTAGCAGCTGGTGTGTATGAGGCAGGAGAGAGAAGATGTGACTCGGAGCTCTCTTCCCCCAATTACATCCACCCACCTGCTCCCATACCCCTGCCACGAGCTGGTTCGGCTGCATGCCTCGCACACAGCGCCTGGCCTGGCTGGACCCCCCTCCACACCCCACCGCCCCGGCTTACATGCTGCCTCTCATGCTACCTGATTATTCTGCTGCTGCTAATCAATATTCACAGGCTCTGGGCATGGGAGCGCCTCTTGAGCTGCTGCTGCTTAATGTTCGGTCATTCACTGGAATAGGCGGTGGTTGAGTTTTTCCAAGGCTCGCAGGATTCAGTGGCATGTTGGCGCAAGCTCACAGCAGCTTTACAGAATATTTATGCTGTTGCTACTGCTGTACCAATTTATGGCTCAAAGTAGGGCTGAGAAATAATCTAATTTTAATTAGCTCTGCATAATAATGCTGCTGTTTTATCAGAAGTCAGTGCAACTTTGTGAACTTGCTTGAAATGTAATACACCTAACAAAGAGGTGCATTTTCTTACAACTGAAGAGATGTATTAGGTATTTATTTCCATAACACAGACTGTATTCTTACACCGAGTCTATTTAACAATATTATCTCAATCTGCTGCGACCATTTCCCGTTTCCTTGCTTTGCTTTCTGTAGAAACACTAACTTTAAATGTTCAAGCACATGCATGCGTCTAAAGCAAGAAAAAGATTCTCAGTGGATCTAACTATTGTTCTGTAAGTTCCCCCTTTGGGCGTCATGCTTTGGGAAGCCACGTGCTGCGTTGCGTGAGAACGAAATGAATCATAACAGTGAACTGCATTAAAATAAATGAAGTAGTGCGCGTTATTTCTCAATCGTGTCATACCTCAATATTTTTACTCGCAACATTCTTCACCACAGCAGGAAACAACTCAGAGGCACTTTTGCCCTTGGCAATGAGCTGGAGAAAAAAAAGAAGAAAGAAACAATTAAAAAAAAAAAATTATTACCAGCACAAAACAGCTCAGTTACTTAAAAGAAATGCTTTAGTGGATTCCTGTGATGCACTCACCCCGACAATTCTCTTCATGGCCTCCAGTTTGAGCGACTCCTTGTTGCTCTCCAACATCTCTTTAAGGTCTTCATTCCTGAGGACAGAAGATGTGTTATTGTAGTCAGTGGTTAGTTGCTTTACTTATGTCCGAATTATGATTCAGCGGGAAATCTAGGTTGCAACTTAAGCAGTAACCATCCGCCTAACAGTTTGTACACCTCTAGAAAAACGTAACTACATGTTGGATCGACGCAGACTGGAAGGTTACAGCCTCGGGTTAAGATCGTAAATGGTAAATGGACTGTTTCTTAGATAGCACTTTTCTACTCTACCTGAGCACTCAAAGTGCTTTACAGATTCACTATTTAGAGAGCAGACAAGCACTTTGAGCAGCCAGGGATTGAACCACCAACCCTCCAATTAATAGATGAGCTGCTCTACCTACTGAGCTAGAGGAGGAACACCCCTGGGGTTTCGGGTTATAAGTTTTTAGATTTGAAGATAACTCATGCTTGTACATAACATGGGCACAAATACAAAAGAATATGTAAATGGATGAGGTGTCTGCTCACAATGCAGCAACAATGGTGTCCTAAACAACAACACAACAGCATCATAACAATGATGCTACTCAGCGATCACATGATCACCACATTAATTCCTTGACTAATTCAAACAGGCAATGTTGCTCAAAAACAACCCACACAACAGGATGCTTGTTCCACAGAGATGCTGTGCAGGATGGAAAGCAAGCTGCAGACAAAAATAAGGAGTGCAGATATGTTCTGTTTTATTTTAGGTATATAATAACCTGGTGCTTATCCAAAATGATCAAAATTAATGACAAGATCAAATCTGCCAATATTTAGCAGTAGTGACTCAACAACATGGCGCTTGAGCTGCAATCCAGATGCATGACATTATTTACCACTGACACAGATGCATTGTGTTTATGAGCTTTGGGTCTGCCCATTGTGAGGAAGCTATGTCTTAAAAACATTAAGTGAATTTGAAAAACACAAACCTCCAAATTGAATTTAGGCAAAAACCTATTACAATTTGGTGGTCTAAGGTCAAGGGTCAAGACTTTATCTCGAACTCAGGAATTTACATGCTAATTATTTCACACAAATCCCATATGGAAAAGATATATATAAATCTTATAAAGTTTGTATCTGTCTTGTGTGAAACTTGTATGAAAAGCATATAAGAGTGAAAAGAGATATAAGATCCCTTGAAAAATGATATAAATGAAACTTGTATGTTTTGGATACTTACTAAAACAATGTATGAAAGTAATGAGAAAGTGGCCACTTTCATGAGTAAATCATATAAGCCTTATATGATTCACTATATGAAGTGGGCAGCATCTTATGCAAGTCTTTTATAAGTTTTTACTATTTCTTTTCCATATGGGATGTCTCATAGGATAAAATGAGCAATTATATTTTATATCCTAAAGCTCAAAAAGGTCAAACTTTAGTTTCTTAATCTGTAAACAAAAAAATAGTTTTTGTAGGACAGCAACTAAATCTTTGAAACCTTAACAATATTTTATATAGAGCCTCAAAATGATTGAACTAAATTTGAAAAAAGCTCCACTGCATGTGAATCTGTAATATCTGATATTGTTTGGTATGACTTCAGTATCACTTCAGTCAGTTTACACCACTGAGAAGCAAACGTAACTAATGAAATTCCCAACAACCTTGATTTTACTTTATATCTTACTGTAATAGACAAATGGTGACACTGTTAAATGATATAAAAACTGTCAATTTACGCTGTTAACAAGCATTTCGTTAAAAACACTGACATGTCAGATCTGTTACCATGATATGTGAACTTGTCCAAACATTTAGATCAAACTTTAAACTGTCTTTAACTGCTCCCTTGTACAAAGTCCATGAGATGCTGAACTCGCCTGTGTAACACCCAGGCATCAAACTCACCAACGCCTAGCAGTCTTTCCAAAGGTGAGAATGTGCAACTTTGGGAAGGAAGAACTCCCTTTTAACAGAAAGAAACCTCTGACAGCACCAAGCTCAGGGAGGGGAAGCCATCGGCCTAGTTCAGAGGTGACGGGAAAGAAAACAGCATCTACGCTTCTACAACTTTGGTCACAACTAGACCTGATCCTGTGACATTTTTTAGCATTCAGGAGTGAAAACAGCTTTACTTTTAATTCATTATAGGTTTTCAGTCTTTTATTTAAATCCACTTTAAACATTGCCAAGTTAAAAAGACTGCACTCAAGTCAATGACTGTTGTTCATACTTTTTTTTTTCATATGATAATCTTAATTCTAAAAGAACAATTTGTAATGGTAATCTGAAAATTCAGTTTCCATCCACAAATAGTCATCATTTTAAAAATTTGTTACCTGTATTAGTTACATCTAAAGATTTCAGTGTTATTTAAAGGAAAACGCATATATTTAGCTGTCAGATGTTACAAGAAAACAATAACCTGTGTTGCCTTACTACAGTACCCGGCTTTGTGTGAGTCCTTAGGGCTACTGTTGGTGTGTGTGAGTGACTGTTCTTCCTGACTGAGCTCAGGCTTCAGAGTAAGCTGTAAGTTCTCAGCAGACACCAACACTGTCCTCATGGCTCCTGCTGCCTCCGAGCGCAAAGAAGAGAAACCAGCGTCCATACCGCTGCAGTCCATTCAGTGGTGTCTGTGCGTGTGTGTTAGCTGTCTAAAGAACAGAGTCCACAAAACCACGGCTGACTGAATTTCCACGGACCAAAGAGAGCTGTGGTAATTACTTTCCTTCAGGGTGTACTCCCAAGTTCTCTTGGCTTTATTTACAGCTGTCTTCTTGTCCAGTTCATAACTGTCAAAGCTAGGAACTGTGGAAAAACAGCACAGGCTCCACTGCTTTGTCACTGTCATTCACCGGTACTCCCTTCCTCTTCTGTTGGGCAAAGGGGGAAAAAAAAGTCACAAGATGCCCCGTCAGCTCACTAATGGCAAGTCATCCTTATGCCTGAGGGTAATGACCGCTTACTTGGCTAATTAGCCATTACTATATTAAACTGTTACTCCTCTATTCTGAAAAATGCTGACTTTCATATGGAAAGCTGTCTCACCTGGCTCCTGGTTGTGTATGTGACTCTGCCTCTGTGTGACTATGGTCACTTCCCTCTAGAGGAAAAAGGAGGGCCTTATCTCTGGTGGGTAAACACTGAGCTACTTTTCATCACCACCACTGCACAATAATCTACTTTAAATTGGCACCACTTAGAGCACATGCGTCTGCCAAGTTTTACTGACAATGCCAACAGGACAGGCCGACATCAAAGATAACAGCACCGAGCTGAATGTCAGGAAATACTCCTGAAGATGTGAATGGTACAAAAGGGTTTTGAAGAGGGAGAAATGTGGACTTTATTCCGGAGTAGATGAGTAACATGAGGGCCTGACTGAGTAATGACTCGACTTTGAAATGTTTCGTAAGCAACATTGGCGCAAATTGGGAAAAGTTTTTGCTCTACACAGTATCACATTCATCACACGCAATATGACAGAGGATTATTTTGGCAGGTATATCCAAAGCTCCCTCTTCCAAAAGATTTTCTTGAGTAACATGATAGAAAGTAAAAAGGACAAGGACATAGCTACCATGTTGAAGTCCTGTTCTAAAGTCTCAAGGTGAGCATTTTCACTGTTGCCATCTTCTGTGTTTTGAAACAAGCCATGACTGACTGAAATCACGCTCTCATTGGCTGGGGACTTCTGATTGACAGGTTGTTAGCCAGTGAGCATAATGTGGATAATTTCCACAGTCAACTTACTGCTGAATTTAGTAGAAACTACAATGAGTAACTGAGCCCATCGACAAATGTTTACAAAGTCAACCTTCCTACACTTTTATGGGACCAGACATCTTTTTGCAAACACAGGTATCACGACCACACGATGGTCACAAAAAGAATGCACAATTAAAGTGTGTGCTTGCTACACTTTAATCTAAATTGATCCTTTGCACCATCTATAGTAACCATTTAAATATACTCTGTTGCAGAACACAGACAGCAGGAGACCTAACGGCCAAAAAGTTATTCCCGTTATAGTTCTTTGTAATCCGCCGCCTGGGCACATGCTTGCTTGGTGCATTGTAATATAAATTCTCTGTGGACGAAATTCACAACACAGGGACCCAAGTGGACCCGTGAACATGAAAAGTATAAAACGGCAATCACTACTTGGCTGTCGGGTCACCAGCTGTATGTGTCCACAACAGAGTGTAATCCAGGCTTCAGTGAGCACTAAGTGCAATAGTACATATTTGCACATGAGCGGAACAAATCTGTGTTTGGTAGCGACAGAAATATCCAATTTTCTTTCCTTTTTAAAAAAAAAAACAAAAAACCCACCAAAAACATAGCATCCAATTTTTTTCTGTTTACACTGAAAACCTAAACAACTCAAATAGGTTAAAAAAAGAAAGAAGAAGAGCTGCATCACGTGTGGCTGATTATTAGCTTTTCAAATCTTTTTTCCCCATCACTGCTGAGATTGATTAGAATATAATACACCCATGGCAGTCTCCTAATGAATATTTATCACAAACAGGCCACATGTGTATCCATCTCATTTAATGCTGTGTTGTAATATGTGAACGCAAACACATTTTATTATGTAGTCTCTCCTTTTTGCAGAAATCTGATCACAGACCTTATGATGTGTATAGAAAATAACTTGTACAAAATTAGAAAATAAAATATTTTCATGGTGAAAATATTTCTTGGCACTCAATCATCATCAATTTAAACTAACATGGAAAAGAGTCTGAAGTGGCAGATCTTAAAAACAAAACAAAAAAAAGGTGGTTACTAAATGGGTGCCAAATTTTGCAGCATTTCCAGCATTTTTGAGCCATCATAACTTCGTAAGAACAGGAGCTCTTCCGGTGAAATTTTCAAACCTGTAAAAGCAAATTTAATCTGTTGTCAGCAGTTGTAACCAGTTCAATTACACACCCACACCAATGGTCCCAACCTAAAAGCAAAATCATGATTTTGTTTTGTTTTTGCTATGACCAAACTTTAGCATCAATATCATGTGTCATAGTTTATGTCAAAGGGGCTGAAAAATGCTGGCAAAATTTAAAAGCACTAAATTTTATTGCACCTCTATGTCCTTTAAGCGCTGCAACTCGGAAAATATTCATAATATGATGGTACCGTTTTCTACTGTGAGCTGAAGTTACTGGGAAGAATAAACAGCTGACCCTGAGGACATCAGATGTGAACTTTTTTTCACATTTGGTTATTTTACGTGGAATCACCCTGAAGTTAAATCTGCGATGCAAGGTTGTTAAAATATTATGATCCACATTATCAACAGGTTGGGAAAAGCAAGACTAGTCTACAATACTGGAACAGCAGTAATAAAAGAAGAACTGTAAAAAAAAAAAAATTTTTGCAAGTGGGAATTATCAGCTGATTCAGGGATAAACTGGCAGCAGCAATACAAAAAAAAAAATAAAAAAGAGTAGCAAGCCTAAATTTGCATGACTCCTGACTAATGCCAGTAGGCTGGAAATACCAAATAACCAATTAACATGCACAACCAGCCTCAAATACAAAATTCAATCTTCCAGCACTTCCCAAGATTAGGGAAGTAAAAATAGTATAATTCCTTTTAAATCCATCGCTCCTTTTATTTTTTTGTGACTGCTTCCAACACAGAGAAATACAATAAGTATATACAACCAAACCGCTCGGCCACAGTGAGACATCTCTTTGGTCTCAGATAATAAATTAGCCTTATGTTTCTATGATTTGTTGAACCCTAGCACAGAGCCCTCAAACAGAAACAAGCACCCTTTAAACACTAGAACATATTAGAGCAAAGTTGCATCTCTCATCACGTGCAACACACATTCAGCAATTTTAACTAAACTTCCAAATTTGATCTAATTTTAAAAGAACTGACTCTAAATATATCCTCAGCTATTAAAACATTAATGAACAAATATGCAATGTATTCTCCAAGCACGGACATGGTGAAGTTGACAAGCCTTGCGTGCAGCACTAATATGAGACACAGATAATGGCACTAGCACAAAATGCATTTTGGATTCACAGACTTGGTCATTGTGAATTGTGTCTGACAGACGCACAAACAGAAGGATCATTCAAGCCCTTGCATATTCTTCTGGTCCCTCAGCTTGGCCCTGAGGTGGCCAAACACATGACCAAACCTCCCCCAACTGGGTAGATGATCATGTGAGACAGTGTTAAGGTTTATTTCAACTTAATAAGAGACATTTCAGAAAACCAAGATCTACATCAGTGATGAAAAGCAAAAGGATACATGAGGACAGTTCCTGCAGGAAACGCTTAAAATCAAATCAGAAGCTGAACTGTGACCCAAAACTTTTATGAATGTATAAAACTTACTAACAGACTGAGGCCTGAATTATGCTTTAGTAGGAAATTTACTAAAGCACAGTAGATGCAGTGTATGGTTAAGAGGGGTTTCCGGTTACGTCGCAGGGACATAGGCTTAATGCATAAGTCTAAATCAAGTTAGAGCTCCTCAGATTTTAAGTACTGCAGTCAAGTCTAGACCAGAGAATCTGGTACCCTGTGTATGTACCTTCAAACACAGATTGTTACACTAGAACAACTGAGATGCATAGTCACAGAATTTGCAAGAAATTTCTAAAGTCAAAAGATGATTAAACTGGTTATTGGCTGCCCTCTAGTGGTAGAATGCAGACATGGAACTTAAAATACATGAGCAACACAAGCTTATGAAGGCAACTTATTAGCATTTCTCCATTTGCTGGTCTTAGAAAGAAATGTACTGACTGTCAAATTCTGGGTCCAGTATTTATTTCCTTTTTTTGGTGGTATATTATGTTTTGCTAGTTATTGTGCTTTTTTCTGCCAAGAAAACAAAGAAATTCTCATGATAAAAATACATTTTGAAACTTTTCATTTTATCATCATTCCATATTTGATCATTTACTCTCAGCACAGGTATAAATGCTTGCAAATGTATGGGGCACTTATGTGGGCTACATCATAGGCTCTAGATAGATTTACAGCAGAAGTATAAACTAAGCGTTACTTATATCGTTGATCTTTGTTGCATCAGTTTTGTGCTGCATAAGTAAAACACCATCTTACTTGTTGACAAGTCAATAGGCCCAGTATGACATTTCGAAAACATTGGTTTAAAAAAAAAAAAAAGTAGCTAATACAGCAGTAAACTGAGTTGTAGATCAAACATAGAAATATTCGCATACACTACAGTTTTATAAAGGTTGAGACAGAAAGAGGTGAATAAAGTACAGACAAGAAATACAACAAACTTATCTTTCCAAGAATTCCTTTACTTGCTTGGAGCTGGATAACAGCAGCTTTAATGAGCATAAAAAATGAAGTTTTCGACATTTTCTTTAAGCCTTTTGACCACTTTGTAATAGGGTAAGCGCAATCCACCTGCAGGAACAGGACTACACGTGTGTCCCAGCGCTTGTTCATTTACAGCCAGCAAATTCACAGCAGCTCTCATCTTAAAGTGCTTTAAACTGGTAAAAACTTTTGAAAGATTTGGAAGAGAACTCCAACGATCAGGTGTTCCACTATAACCACCCACTTTGCGACAGTGGGGAGGATTGCGTCCCTTTTAACAGTGAAGTGTGTAGCATCCGCTTAAAAACATGCAAGCACTTTCTGCTGTTTCACAATAAATACCGGTATCTGAAGATTCTGTGATGAAGCCACTGCAGTTGATATTTTATCAAGCTCTCCCTGTGCAGTGATTGCAATGACTGGAGCCTTACTGAACTAACTAACCCAAACAATCACAAAGCGGACAGAGATGAATACACAAAAGAGCCACCAAAATTCATAATCACAGTAAAATACAAAGTAATCAGGTGGAGATAGTAAAAAAAATGATCGCAAAAATGACAAAACGTGACAAAAAGTGTACACTACAATATGAAAAACAACCACGAGATGGAAAAAAAACAACAGCAAAAAACAGGCAATACAAGTACACCCTGAGCACACAGAAAGGTGCAAAGCAACTGGAAAAACCAACCAGAAAAAGGAAAACTCAGTGATCACAATCACAAACACGTCCAAGCCACGTCTTGCCATTTTATCGCTCAACTTTGCTTACTGCAGAAGAGACAGGGGGCTGTCATTTGCCACCATTGCCCTGCCTGTGGATGCTACTGGCCTCTTTTCAAGACTACGAAACTGGAAGTTAGCCATATGGAGTTCAACAAAAACAACCCAACTGTGCCAAAAACAACCACCGTGACGAGAAACGGAACACACGCTGAGCTAGCTTACTTTTTAAAGTCGGCGCTGAACAGTCCGAAGGCAGCTCCGGTGCTCGAGGAGGTCGGGGTGCTTTCTTGACCCGCTTCCACCGCAGCCTCCGCTCCTCCTTGGTCGTTGTATGAGACTCCTGTCGACATGCTGAGCTTTAAGGCAAACGGCCGACAAAGAAAACTTACTCGCCTTTTCTTACGAGCTATGAAATGTTCATAAAGTTGGTGATAATGTTAACTTAATGTTGACGCTAAAGTTCCTGCAAAAACTTCTTTAATGTATCACCCAACTTTTTACACGCAGTAGCGGAAGTGTGAGTTGGACAAGTGAGCGTCACATGACAGGGATTCAGAGGCAGAGAGCTCATAGATCTATGGCAACTAGAAGAGACTCGGACAAAAAAATAGATGTTGCCACAATGTTGAATAGCCAAAGTATCACGATAAAGTCCACAAGGTCAAAACAGCAACATTTTTGTCAAGACCAGGATATTTTCAAGAAAAGTGAGTTTTCCTGAAGTTTGTGCTATTGTTGTCATACTTTATTTTTACACTTTAAGTGTAATAAAGTATGACAAAAAGTCTAAATGAGTGCGGGTATAAAAAAATTAATCAAATATTTTCCAAGTAATAATATTATTTTTTAAAATAACTTTGGGATATTTTTAATTCTTTCATTTTACGTAGATAAGTCGATGTACGACCTGACATTTAATCGGAGATAAAATGTCACAATTCTATGACAAAATGTAAAAATGAGTGTGAGTAAAGCGTTAAATTATTTCTAAATAAAACATTTTTCTTTTTTTTTAATTACTTTTTGGATTTTTTTTTTTTTTTTGACGTTTCCCTACTTCCGCCTGACGTCTCGTTATGTCACGTGTGTTCCGCTGCTGGTGACCAATCCCCCACCTGGACGGTCTGACGCTTGACTTCAGCCCTTGTCTTTTCTATTACAATTTGTTCGAAACAGTTGGTCTTTTGTAACTGTCTGCGCCGACTTTGGCTATAAATATTAGCCTTAAGACACATTTAGCGGAATAAGTCGTCCTATTTGGACAATGTCAGATTTCGACAGCAACCCCTTCGCGGACCCGGACTTCAGCAACCCGTTTCAGGTAACCTTAACAGCCTACATTAGCCACTTTAACTTTAGCTGCCGTATCATTTTACATTAAGACTGCGTGGCTAGGAAAGACTGGCATGGGGTTGGTTTGAATAAACCTGCTCTGATAAGGCGACTTTAAATTAGCTGCTGCCAAAACCCTTCCGTCCTCCTGCTGCTCGGTTTCAGTTGAACTGTCACTTAATGTTGCCGCACTCTGACTGGCAGAAGTGACATAACATTAAAAGATATGAGGCTATGCTTCCAGGTGTTGGCTCTGATTCAAACTGAAGCAGGTTGGGTCGCTGGGTTCTGTTATAATTATCCCCCATCCCTTTAAATTCCCACCTGCTCGACATATTTCCTCACATTTACGACCTAGTTAAACAACTTATGCTCAGATGTTGCGTATTGTTTCTTTTATGTTTGACATTACGTTAGAGTGATTGACTTAACTTGCCAACCTGGAGACGATAATGTTAAAAACTGATCACCTGATCATGTAATGCTGTGTAGGAACGTAAAAACAGAGACAAACATCCTTTCCCTTGCCTTTATTGTGCTGTTATCTTTATTTAGGCGTCTGACTGAAGACGTCTTGTGTTTACGCTCACACAGTGTTGTGTCATAATGAAAGCATTCATGTGATCATGTGCTCCTTGGTATTTCCAGGCCTATCCTCCTCCGCTCATATCAGGTGTACTCAACAAAACAATCAAGTTTTGCTATTTTCTGAAATTTCTAACATTAATGGACCAAAAACATAAGACTATTTAATAATTAAAATAATCACGAGGTGCTTCCCTCAGTTTCATTAAGACCACATTGATTGTTTTAACATTGATTGTTTGATTGGAGCATGCTAAGAATAAGCTAAAGAAGTGTTTGTTTGTTTGTTTGTTTGTTTGTTTGTTTGTTTAACATCAACCAGCCAAACTGGGTTTATGTCTTTAGCAGTTGATTGGGAATCTAAACATTTAATGCTGTTTTTAGTATTTTCTATGAAATGCTTAAAAGATAAATAAATGGACTGTCATTTAGATCTCCAAAAGTTGATTCTGTTCATCTGGACGTCATTTTGAGTTTCTTGAAATCAGCAGTAACATCTTCAGTGTGCTTGTTATGTCCATCAAAAGCTTAAAATCAACTTTTTTTGTCATACACAACAAATAACATGAGTAAAACTTCATATTTGGAAACTAGAAGCCCTCAAATATCATTTCTCATTCAAAGAACATTATAAATTATGCTCTTTAAATGAGGATAATTTACAAAATGCACATAATGGTGTTATCTGTTTGATGTTAAACTAGTGGTTGAACCCATGTATTTGTAGTAATCCTGTAATTTATTTACAGTAAGCTTAATTTAAGCTCAGTCTAAAAGTCAATATTGTGCACATCCACACACAACGCGTGTTATGTTGCTGGTAAGAAGCAGGAAGTAAAATAGCAGTAATTGATAGATGACAACACCTTGTTCTACTGTAAATGCAGTAAATACTTCCCTACAAGTGTTATAACAACAAAAAGAGAAGCCAAAGCCACAGTTATCTAAGTTTTTTATACCGGTCATCTCATTTGTTGGTAGTTTGCTGTTAACTTACTCTCAGTAGCCACAGCACACTACTGCTGATATTTAGCAGTATAAAACAGAGCAGTATACAGCTGAACTAAATAGATCAGCCTTTTGTCATAAATAACAGATCTAATTTCTGAGTCAGAATCAGACTAATCCAGAATTAGACCTGTGGTTCTTTAACCTCAGACAATGTATTTGTTAATTGTGATATATCTGTGCCTGCTTGGTTCTACACAGTACAAGGAAAGCATGTGTGTTTTTTGTTTGTTTTTGTCAGAGAATACCATATTTAAAAAATCTATTTTAGTTGGTTTGATTCATTGCACAGACTTAAAAGAACCCAGCGTTGATGGGAAGATGGTACAGGCTGACCACACAGACGCAAGGAGAGTGAATAATTAATTGGGTTCATTAACATACTAACACGAGTGCTGAAGCCCTGCTGTCCTCCCACTTCTCTGTCATGCGTTGGCTCTGGCTGCCTTGCCTCGGGATAATGGGAGCTTTTTCCCTTCTCTGAGCTATGTTCAATAGTTCATGAAATCATATGGTGACATGTGGTTCCAGGGTACTCGTTGGCTCCTTTCCTACTAAGCTTCATCACTCGCAGTCATGCATCAGATTGTTGAGGCTGTTTTGGCCTATTTCTCTGGATGTGGGCTCAGACATTAGGCTCTATGTTAGTGAATAAAAAAAACTTTGTAAGGCAGCTAAGAGCTCACTTTGTAAGGTTTGTAGCTTAATCAAATGTGAAATGAGTAGAAACCACAGAGAGTTGAAGTCTTAGATATGGTGTCGTCAGGTGGTTGAACTGTGCACCTTTTTTGAATCCTGCACTTTAATCAAGATCATGGTGAACACACGTTTGCTGATTCTCCTTGTGTTTTTTGGGTGGGGGTGTTGTTGTTTTTTTTTTTTTTTTTTTTTTTTTTTTAAAGGTTCTGGAGCAGGAACTCCAGAGCTGGAGGTTTCAAAATGAAGACTTCGTTGAATCTGCAGTATGTGTTTGTCCAGCCACGCACTAGTGCAGCGTTAAATTTTAAACACGACAGGCCCTGA